GGGGGGGGCGGGATTGATTATATAGTATGATTATAATGGATATATACAATACTTTTTTTTATCAAATATGATACTACTTTATCTATAGATCATGTAACATAATGTTTCCATGTAATATAAATATATTTATTTGGGTATTGTATGTAACTATTTGATTGTCAACTTTACCACCGGTAACATGAAGACATTTTTTGGGAGTACAATAGATTTAACTGCAGGTAGACCGGATTTTGCAAATGGTGGCAGTCCCTGCATAGGCACGTTGACTGACGCCAGAGCCAGTTGTAAGGGAGATACGTATACACCAAATAGTGATATACATATGAAAATCCATTCCGGCTCATATCGAACAATAAATGGGCTTCCTTTCTGCCTTTTTTCGGTAGACAGTCATCAGGGACCTCATTCCACACACGTCACTGTCCACAGGCACGGTAGCGTATTATACACACAGAAACGATACCCAGAAGGGCTTCATCTTTCCACATTTCAACCAATCGTCATCTCCGTTGCTAAGGTTTATCAGATTGTTTCACTTTAACACTTTTGATTTCTTTCTGTACCAATTGCCACTTTAAGTGCGCTGCCTTCTCCCACAGCTGAAAATGGGAGAAGCTTATCCGCTGTCTTCAAATAACGAAGCTGTTCCATTTAATATCCCTAAACTCCAGCATACTCTCTGCCTCCCCGACCCCAGTGAACAACGCCCCTATTTCTAGTCGTTGTGTCTTTGGAGTCTCAAAGTGTGACCCCCGCCTGCATTTTGCAACTGTTATCTCCCCAACGATTTATCTCAGTGGTACTTGTATTTGGATGGAAGATGATAAAACTATGGCAAACCACCTTACCATTTCTTCAAGGTGCAATGTCGATCCCGAATTTCATAAAGTGAAATACCTTATATAGTATATGAGATATCTTTATTTCATACATTCGAGATATTATTTCTAACATGATACACCAGATATCTTATATAGAAATTAAATGAGATGCTATGTAAGATATCTCATATGCTGTATAAGATATCTCATTTAATTTTCTATATACAGTGTAATATATCTTATAAGATATTTCATATACTTCATAAGATATCTTATAGTATATGTAGTACTAGAAAAGACAGTAGGTTTGCTGTCAACACGTGGTCCTGTCGCCATCATGTCGGAGTCCAGCTCACGATTTTGTGAAATAGCAGCCTCTGAAAGACGTGCTCTGAATGTTTCTCGGGGGGAGAAATTAGTTTCGCATTTAAATGCCACGGAATCTCATTCTATATAAGATATCTCATAAAATAACAGATTTAAATGATATAAGATATATTCTATAGAAAATTAAATAAGAAGATATCTTATAATAAGATATCTTATTATAAAATATCTAATATACAAATGTATTTAATTAAGATATCTCATTTAATTTCTATATGAAATTCGGGATCGACATTACTTCTTGAATAAATGTTAACTTGGCTTGCCATATGGAACCTAGCTTATACTAGGTCACTTTTGCATCCACCGTCTCGAAACACCTTGCTGTTGACGTTAGTATTTCATACAGTAGCATCAGCCATGCTGTCGTCCAGAAGAATCCTGACTTTTGGTCGAATCTTCTTCTTCATCCTCTAGTGCAATTAACGTTGGGTAATCTTGTGGATGTTACCGAGTATGTCATCGAACCATTTCCCTATGAGATTGAAACGACGTTTTGATGTTACTGCCTTCCTTCAGGACTTACAAGATATGTAGCATCTCTCATAATCATACCTCGTAAATATAACGAGGTTTTAACCGAACCTCATCCATGCCCAATTCACAACCTCTTCCAGCGCACCAATCTTGCCTGCAGCCCTGCACGTGTACATGTGTGGTTGTTGCAATCGCCGTGTCATCAATGAAGCCTCTAATGGTCAGACTCCATTCTATTCTATATCCTCGGATTTTTTTCTACAGCATTGATATTCATTTCCATGATGATCTTGCATACAAAATATAAAAAAAAAATTTACAACAATTATGAAACGAGTTATTTAACCTATATTAATCACTCTTGTTGGCCCGCCCGGATGTTAGCGCGGCTTTGTGTGGGAGGAAACCAGAGTACCCGGAGAAAAACCATGTGGTCGGGCAGGTGACCCCATACCTTTTCACGTCCGATCGGGGAATCTAACCCCAGTCAGCCTTTGTGAAAGGTATAAGTTTGCTATCCACTGCACCACCCGATCACCCATCTTGCAATGCTCTCCCGAACTTTGTATCGCAATTGTATCTCCCCGGAGTAGCTCGTTATCTTCTAGTTGTGTTGAGAAGTTTGATAATATTCAGAGTTACCTAAATCAGTTGGTGTGTGTCGTATTGGTCCGTAAACTCATGCAAGGCCAAATTATACCACCGTCAAGATGCCTTTGTGCTTTTTTTTCTGGTCAATAAGCTATGTGTTCTTAATATCCTGGAAACTCATGTATAAGCTATATTCGCTCGCGAAGAATCTATATATATTCTTCGAACTTCAGCAACAATTTAGTCCTGAATTGGTCGACTATCTTGGAGCCTTTCTCTCCGATAGCATTGACTCTTTGCTTTTTAACTGCACAACCGTCACAACCATTCTTCCATACTCTGACGATTACAGCTGCTATTTCCTGTAAACTTAGTACATGTATCATTTTTCACTTGGTCTCAGAGCTGATTTTGATCTTGTCTTCTTCGCAACGTCGCGGATCTCGTTAAACCTCGGTTTTCCTCGATTTTTAGTTCATCTCACGATTCTAAGATTGGGTCGAATTTATGGTATGCAATGGTGCGTTTTTTGTATAGAGGCTTACATCAAATCTTGGTCAGTAAATATAATTTGACACTTTTTGATTTGAACTTCCTCTTACTCCTAGTTTTTCTAATAATCTAATATCCACGTTACTAACAGTCTTTGAGTTGGAACAAATCTTTGGCAAAGACTGCTTTGTTCATCGCTCTTTCTCATTTCCTAGAGTGGTTTTATAAATCTTTTCTAACTTCCCCTTAAAACTTTCGCATGGCGTCAGGACACCTAGCTACTTTTCTCTCTGCATCCTCCTGCAGAGTGGTCTCCAATATCGTATAGCGGGAAAAAATCAAGGGGTGCTAACTTTTGCTCTTTCTGTCTGTCTTCTTGTATTTTTTTCCTTTTTCCCTTTTTTGTTTTGTTTTTTGTTTTTAGACAATCATAATTAATCCAATATTCGTCATTAGGTATTTTGTATTTAAATTGAAACAAAATCATAAATAGTTCAAAACTTGCATTGAACTTCCAGGACTGAGTCGCTAAGACCATATGGGTTATCTCCCTTGGTATACAAAGTAAAACGACGCAGACTGATCAAGTATATATATATAAAAAAACGTCCTCGCAACAGCTAATTAAGGTCATATTATGAAGACAGTTGTCTAAGTAGACACAGCCGTTGAACAATAATACGACTATGAATGTAAGAAAAGAAAGACAGAATTCTTAATGTTGGTGTCTAGTGATATATATTTTCTCTATACCGAAAGAAGACCCGGATTCTGAGTCGGGATGGGGACACACATATGCATGAGTCGCTTTTTTAATATTCACAATAAAATAGGTTAGTCCTAAAACTAGCGATTTTTTAATATATTTTAATTTGCTTGTTCTAACACTTTATGTATCAGCCACCCTGTCACTCCGAACCGCCTATAACGATCGTCTAATCTAATTCCGTGGTCAAACCAGAGACGTTTATATTACAATATATATACGTCTCTGGTCAAACCAAGGACTAACAATTTTAATCAAGTTAAATTTTATTTCATTATTTATCCAAACAATATACATTCAAAGGATCGCACTGCAAATAAACAAAAGAACTATATATAACCATTACTATGAAACGTAGGCACATTGAAAGCCACCTTCGTACGTTCAAAAGGCTTTTTAATGAAGAGATCCACATCACACAAAGGTTTTGGTTCATAAGAAGATAATATATTTTGTAAGTTTTGTATGTCACCAATGATGTATTATTATTACAAACCTCGGATGGTATTTTAAGTCATCAGAGATCTAAGAACCCGTGAAGATAAATTTTTAGCAATGGGCGACACTGGGATTTCATAGAGTGGTTGGAAACCGTGCTATAAAGACGCCTGTAAAATCTGATGTACATTTAAGCCTTTCCTGTAGAAAACCCTGGTTTATTTTAAACAACGTTTCATTTTCTTCAAATGTACATTTTTAAACAACACATAAAAAATGGAGAATTATATGGAGGCTATTATTTATTCCTCTTCCGTAGTTTAGAGTAGTTTATTAGTCATGTCGTGGACACATTTATTCATACTCATGACGTGTTCTTGAGATATAGCGAATCAACAGGAACATCGCTGGTAACATGGGTATGCATGCATGTATATGCTACTATCGACGAAAGGGAAGTGATATTACAGGATAAGACCCTGATGATATTTATCAAGTTGTCACGTTTGTTCCCGGAATAACTTTATTCTGTCGTTGCATGGTAGCGAGGTGACCATTATTTAATGACAGAGACGTATATATATGTACCTCTCTGCTTATTGACATAAGTAACACTGACAATGAGGAGTATGTTGGGTATTTATCAATCAAATTGTTGAGAATAATCCATTGATTCTGATTATGCCTCACTCTTGTTTGTGCTTCTATACATGGCGATGTCGTTAATTCTCTGCTTAGAGCCACATTATTTCCTTTCATTGGTTACTTACTGAATGCCTAGTAATAAATTACATAATAAATGTCATACTATTTATATATTAAAATCAGAGACTCTTAAAATGTAACTTTAATATAAATATATTATTCAGTCTATAATTTATTTTGCCTTTATTTTTTTTATTTAGTACAATTCAAATGATATTGGATTAGATATGTTAGACGTGTTAGCGATTTAGACATATTAATAATTATCGACAATGCATTGTTAGCTTAGCGGCAACATAAGTTAAACTTGGTGTACACGCCTCTCTATATCTCATCTTTGGTTAATATGACAATACTTTAAATCTCTGTATTTTTGTGAATATCTGTACACCTAAGTTAAAATCCCGACGTCTAGTCTATTCGTCTAACAGTATCAATAGAATCAACACAATGCAGTCACGGACGATACATTTGCAATGTTTACTTCCGTGTTTGTACAGCGCCACCTGTCGTGAAAACCACTGCACCCGGGAGCGGAAGTTGAACACCGAAAAACCTGTCGAAAGCACTTGTCTGACAAAATATAAGACAGCTGAAGGAAGAAAAAGAAATAGACCTGGATGATGAGGACACAGTTATACATGGAATGCTGATTCATCAACGAGTACAACTTAAGTATGTCACTGCCTTTTCGTTTCGGCTCGTTTCCCTTGAATGATTTCCATGTCGTCTGAAATTTGATAATGTTCATTTCATGGTGCTTATAGCCTTGCGGACTGCGGAAGGTTTTTGTACGCTGACTGTCTGAAGCCACGGGGGGTAAGTCACCGACAAACACTTAAAGTAGTAAAACTATTCACACCATCTTGCAGTTTTTACTCATATCCCATTTGTTTGTTGTTCAGAGGAAGACATTCTAAAATACTAACAGCGTTTAAGTCTGTGGAACTCTTATCACAAGCTTATACAGATATGGTTTAACTCACTATGGGATACAGTCCTACCTATTATTAACTTGACAAATGTATGGTATGGTGACTGCTCGAGGTAAATAAAACCAGCTACACAATCCTATTCCTGCAAGTGTCGGGAGATCTGGACTTTGCCAGTTGTACGTACCAATGCAAGCTCTAAGTTAACCTACTTGGTTTGATTGGGGTTAGGCCTATGACAATGTTGTCCACTGATAAATGGGCATGCATGGTCATCCAAGGGTCACTTTCAAGTGTACATGGAACTGCTTTGGAATTTGGACCTTTAATATCATGATCTACAACCCCAATTTAATATAAGGAGGTATATATTTATAAATAGATGTAACATACAGTCTCATGTTTATTTGATGCTCTGTGATTATTTATCATGTGAAGTAAATTTTAGTGCAATACTTATTTTATTTTTTTAAAAGCCAATATTCAATCGCAACAAGCTCAGGATAGGTATGTCTACCGGTTTCGCCCGAACATGTGGGCTTCTTCAGGACGGTAGACATACAATAAAGAAACCAACCTATCCTGAGCTTGTTGCGATTGAATATTGCCTTTAGTTTCCCGTTCCTCAATCGCCCTGCATACCCCTGGGTATCCAAGCAAGGGATAACGGAACCTAGAGAACCTAGATCAGAAGTACGGCATCGGCTCTACACCCGATGATTTTATTTTTTTAGATTTTTCACATCTGTAATGCATTTTTTTTTTTGTCAAGGGCTTCTATATGGGAATGTGTATTAATTAAGAATCTCTATGAAACTTTTTTTTCACTTTACAAAATTACGGAAAAAGTCACGGGGTTTGAATGTGCCCTATATCATTGATCGATAGATATGAAAAGTAAGAAGTATGTAAACAGAATGAAAAACATATTGAAAGATGATATTATTAATATATTCTTGATTGCGTGAGTGGTTTTAGATGTCCTCTACCTATACAGTACAATATGGAATGAAATTATAACTTCAGAATTTTTGTTCGCAATTATTTTTGTCTGTTTATATGGAATGCATTTTCTTATATATACTTTGGCATTTAAATAATATATTTTATTTTTTCGCTACAAATATTTCTACTTTAACTACTGTTGGACTCTGTTTTAGCTTTCAGAGTCTGAAATATATGTAAAGGGTAATATTTACATGTACATACATGTATATATGTAATGTATGCTATTTTCCACCCACATCATCCATTGGCTATAAATAGCATTAGACACAGGATCACAGTTCATGTGATATCACAATAACCTTTTACCACAAAGCTAATCCAGTACAATACCATTTCACTTAAGTTTTTTTTTTTAAATTTGGTCAAAGACACATTATCATTTAAATTTTATCCTGAGGACATATCGCAAGCGTAGTGGGCTGAAAAAATCATTCTGTTTGGTGTCAAGTATCTTTTTATTATGGTTGATAATAATCCTTAAACAAATTTCGCCAAGCAGTAACTAACATGAGGAAACATGATTTGTAAACTTACATTGCTTATATATCTATAAATAACAAATGCCTGTCAGATAGTAATTATCATCTAATTATCATCATTTGATGATAAACCCAGAAACATAGATAAGTTTGATTAGATTTGACACATGTAGAAAGTATTTTATGTCAGTTGGTATATCACAGAATTTATAGGAAGTGTAAACATACAGACAGCTAATATGATGTATGTGCATGATGAAAATAGACTATATGGGCAACAATAAAGCATATACAATGTATACTAGCTGTATAGACTGATGCAAGGGCAGTAACACATTGGTCCTTTCTCTACAGAAATCTTCTGTCATATTTTTACCCTACACAAGTACCGGTACTACTTGATAAACAGCAAACATTTATATTATAGTATAAATACATATACCTGTATATATACTAGTAATACAGTACGGCATCAGCAGAGGTGTTTTATTTAGCAGAATGTTATGAGATGACAATTAAGATTCCAGGTTAGACAGGTGTGCCTATATAGACACAGGTGAGGTACAGGTGAGAGGCACTAGGTAATCAGTAGTACAGTGGCGACCACTTGACAGATATTGTTTGTGTATGACCTTTACTATTAAAGCTCTTGGTTTACATTCATACACTTGTGACAGTGACTGTAATTCCGTAAGACTTAGGTATAGCTTCTGTGCGAGGAATTTGTGTTGAAGTTTTGGTTGCAGTTTTTTGTATACCGTAATTATTTAAATAAATTTTGTCTTTGATCTTATTCACGAGGAATTTGTGTTAAAGTTGTCATGTTTGGTGATAGAAATAGAATGTAATTTGTTTGTGTACTCAGAATTAATTTGGTAAACAATACCTTTAGATAAGGATAAATTGTCTTATATCTCCCTCTGTTACAATTGTTGAACACATTGAAATTCTAAACCTGTTGAGACTTAGTAATGTATTATACCGTTGAAGTATATATACTGTATAGGCAAAATCTGGCATTGGGAATTGAATAGGCCAAGTTGAGAGAAATTTGCTTTACCTTAAAATCGTTTTCTTTAGCTGTTTATTATAATGATACAAAATGCAATGGGTTTTTTCTCCAAAAACTATATTTGGAACCTACTCTTTTGATATTGTCTGTATTGTTGTCTCAAGATCTATAGGAGCTGGGCATAGTTGTGGTTAGGTCAGTCCAAGCTCTACCAGTATCTCACCTGATTTAGATTGGCTACATGTAGGTTATTTCCATGACGAAGAAATGAAAATTGTCAAGGAAGTTAGTATGCATCCCCAGAAACTACTGAAGGAGTATACGTAAGTCTACAGCCAGGGTGTTTTAGTTTTCTGACTAATATTTTATACGTTTGGTAGTGGACTTATTTGTAGACAGCAAAGCGACAGTAAAATTGGAGATATCAAATTTGACATCTTACTTTTACTTAAAGTGATTGAAGATCGTTGAGGTATTTTAACAACCAATAGGAACATCCTCAATTATTCACTGGTGATAATTTAACACTTTTGTAAAGGTATACGGTCACCCGCCCAACCACATGTGTTAGCTATATAACTACAGATACATAATGTAGTTATGATCAGGTTCTCTTCCACATTAAGACCCCTTGTAAACTATAGCTATACCATCCATGCCAACAAGTGGTTAATGTTAGTTGGTAAACGGCTCAATAAGGTAAACTGGCTCAATAATTGTCGTAAAATGAATAAAGTTTATAATTAAAAAAATTACACCTACAATTTATGTGGATTCATCTCCCTTAAACTTAGAACTTGTTCAGATTAGTAATTAAAAAATTCAGAAAGCACGAATATTATCACTTTTGATTTTCGTTTCAAATGTGATCCTTATTTATTAAGTCCATAAACAACTCTTTGAAGTTATTATATTTCAAAGTGATTAGGTGCCAATGCCCATATATCCTAAAGCTGACAGTGCAAGATAAAAAGGTTTCAGTCAAGATTTTAAACAAAATATATAAATTATTTTTACTGCTATCTCTTCCGGCTATTGTATCTAAGGAAGTGCTGACATTTTTGTTTGTGCTTGCTATGTTACAAGTATGGGTCTCCCGGATATAAAAAGTGCACTGTCGGCTTTAAGCTGCACTTGCAGACCTGTTAGCATATATAATACCATGTTGGTTTAAAATTCCCCAGGAAAAAACACAGTCTTATAATAATGCAAACATAGCACTGTAAATTCTTATGTATTAAGGGTATTGTATGTGGGACTTTTAAAGACAAGACAATGCAGGAATAGAAATAGCCTTTATACACCCCTTAGAGTTTACACTGCCGCCACAAAGGAATAATGCACCCTGTAAAATTAGTATTGAACATTGAACAAAGACACTTTGAAAACCTTGTATAGTTGCCCTCATATAGTTTTGCATATATAAATGTCTTGAATGAGCTTAGCTCATGTAATCAAGTTTAAAGATAAAATACGGTCTCCACGTTACGAAATGAACGACCAGAAATGATATTTGCTGTGCCCTGTAGGAGTGAATAGTAGGACGAGTTGATTGACAGTGGTATGGGGTACACAAATCAAATTTAATTGGAAATAGTTTTAGTACCAAGTCATAATGATTGTACGTAACTCAAAAATTATCATATATTTTAGAATTAAATGCATTGGGAACAAATGGATGTTTCGTTTTTTAAAAGAAATTGAAGAGACATTTTTATATAAAATCTAATATCTTTTTATTTTGGTGTTGAACTTCTTTGATTTTATGTTTGTTGATAAAACTATCAGATAACTATTTGATAGTTGCCAGTATTTCTTTGGAGTATGTAGCTTAAACATCTTGGTTTATGAAACATACAAATCATATTTAAATTCTTGGTCACTCACTATTGATCAAAAGGGCCTTAATGATAAGGATGCATGATACCATACTTCGACATGAATGATTTCTAAAGAGTTTGACAAAAAAAATGGTTAAAAATACATGTAAGTGGTATTGATTATGATCAGCAGAAGACACAACATTTGAAGTGTTCATTAGAATGAATACATGTATGTATTTAAATATTTTTGGATGGATAAATTCAGAATTACATGCGAGAATTGTAAGATATTAAGGGAGATAACTCTAAACAAGTATAATGTGCAAGGAAATATGTAAAAATTATGTTTCATTGTTGTCTTTACTAAAATTACTGTACACTGGATACATGTATATCGCAAAGATATAAAACTGTAGAAATACTAGCTTACAGATGATCTTGTGTGTTAATCAATAATGACCATACGATTACACAGCTTATAATTAATGCTGTCCTAATGAAAAAACAAGTGTTTGTATGTATTTTGAAAATAATTTCATGTTTTTAAAAACCAAACCTATTGGAGTCCTTCGATAAATACTAAAGTGTCATTTCACATTATTTTTCTTTTGATTCACAGAAAAGAAATCTGACTGTGATGAAATCTAAAATAAACAAATGGCCTTATTCAGACCATTATGGTATTGAAAGATGCAGATGACACTGTCACTAACAACTTGGCAGCTATCCCTATATACCCATATATAAACATATACATACATGTATACACAGTCCAACAGCCTGATTCACCGATACAGTACATTCAAATTCTTAGCTCATGAGATGGTCTCAAACAGTCAATTAATGTATGGTTAGCTTGAATTCATAAAAATTGTATTGAAATGAAATTGTCTTCTCTAAGTTCTTGAAGCTATATATAATATAAACAAGACCTGTCGTGTATCCTTACAAAAGCAGTCCAAATGTTTCTTTTTAAAGAAGAGGGAGGGATAAGGAGATGAAAGATTACACTTATTAAGTTGCAAATTGCTAGTCTGCAAAAAACATTCTTGTTCTTTGGCAAGATCATATATTTGTGAAATGTAAAGGAAATATTCATTCTAAGCCAGCAGCTGCAATACAATTCATCAATAGAAGTATTTAATGGCCATTAATTATATCCAATATAGTGGTTTGTGTGTCCCTTCTTTATGTTTTGTGCATGGAGTTTTTGAGTACAATTCAACATTACATAAACATTTTGAACTAGTTGTGCTGGTGGTAAAAGAAATATAAGAATTGAAAGTTGAAAAAAAGTTTAAAGTTAAATTTGCAAATTTTCATTAGGAAAAATAATATTTTATGCTCATTAAAAAAAAAATAGAATCTATTTTTTTGTGAATAAATTTTATCATCTGATCAATATGTTAAAAACAAAATTACCAGTATATTTTGGTTGAATTTTCAAAGATAACAAGGCCTTTACGAACACTAAGCTGCTATCGCAAACCTGAATCTGTAGGAGAGGTTAATTTCTTTGGGAAGTTTAACGGGTGAAACATCTTCTTACTGCTGTTGTTTGTAAACTACAGGCATGTGAATTTGTACTTTATCTAAGATTAAGCAACAAAAAAACTGCTGTCTAACTGTTTACAAAACTTGCCCAGGAATCTCTACATTACATCATCCTCCGTGTTCCTTAAGTATTTCAATGCATTGTTCACTCAATAGACTGTCAAATTCTCTGATTTTTTGTAGTAAATAATAATAATAAGAAAAGAACATATTAAGGTCAAATAAAAATAAAAATGTTTGTAACTTGCCAAGAATATGTTTCTTTCAAAAATAGTTTTGCATATGATTGAAGTTAAAATACATAGATACATGTTGCTAATTAAGCAAATCATTTTAATATGTCCCAAAAACATAGTGAAGGGAGAATTAATTGTTTTCCTCTTCTGTCCATCCATCTGTAAAAGCTCATTGGTTAGACGTTTATATTTAGCTCCATTACTCTATTACTTAGTTTTGTGTTGAGCTCCATATCCATCTTAGTGAGAGCTAGTGCAGATGTGATGTTTCACAAAATATTCAATTTTTTAAATATTTTGTTTATATCGGCTACAATAGGATTATGTAACTTATCAAGCCCTGCCAAAATAAGTACATTTGAATAAATTGTCAGTAACCCGTCAGCATAAATAACAAAATAACAATACGCTTGCTATATACAATCCTGTATGTGACATGTACAATACCTTTAGGTATCTGTTTACAGTGTTATAAAACAGACCTGTCTAGTCGACAGCCCTAGGTACCTTAATTACTGTAAAGATTCCTTGCCAATGCTCCCTATTTAGGAGGGAGACTCCCAATTTTGGACCCTTAGATTCAATATTTTCAACCATTAAATTTGCTTAACTATTCCTTTGTTCCAAGATTTAACTATTTCAACTGAAAACAACTTAAAATAATGTCATTTTAAAGGGTAAATTTGTTTCTAGGGGGTGTATTTACACATTATATTTTTGTTTTAATTTTGAGCAGGGAGAGTCTCCCCCATGGAAATGTTTAAAAGTTGGCAAGTATGGACTAAACAAAACAAAGCATGACAGACTGCAGACATCAAGAAACTAATGTATTAACACTCAATATTGATCTGGTTATTGATTGATTGATGGATCAATCAATCAATAATTTAATCACACTACAGACATACAAGTGTATTTTGGTGCAGACTGTTGATGGATGAGATTTGATATTTTACATAGGAAACTGTTACTGCAGGAAAGTGCTGGCTGGTGGCAAGGAGCATGGCCCCAAACAGATAACCTTTTGGAGTTTAGAATATAATGTTACACCTGTCATGATGATGATGAAGCCAGCAAACTTAAGGAAAATCAACTGCTTTCAAAATAACTATAAAATACAGAAAATTTCCTGTGTGTATGTCCCTCAATATGCATGTATCGCCAACTTCATTTCGGCATATATATACAATTAGAAATGTGTCTTTCATGTTCTTGACCTCTGGTCAATTTAGCTAATTCTACCTTTTCTGCTTTTGTGACTTCTACCTTTTCTGCTTTTGTGACGTCTCTGTGGGCACTTATAGTGTTTGCCATTTTTCTACTGTATGACCAAAGTCAATTGTTAGATACAATTGTTAGAAACAGACTATATGTAGGACATAGTTTAATTTGTGCAAAGCTTGTAACCTGCAAGTTGTTTAATCTCAAGATTTCCTAATAGCTTTGCTCTGTTTAAAGTTATCAGATATGTTTCACAAAGTATTTTGCATAAAATCATTTGTTTATTTTCATCATAGTCATTTCTGGTGTATTGGTATTGTCATCCTTTTTATACTGGAATCAACATAACTTTCCACATATGATAACTACCACCTGAAGTTGTGCATCCAGGGATTATTTTTTCAATCTGTCCCCTTTTCACAAAGTTATGGCCCTTTGTTGAAAAATCGTTGTCCAAACAACTCCTCCAAAACTATGGGGCCAATTTCAACGAAAGTTTTCAGATATGATAACTATCACCTGAAATTGTGCATCCAGGTATTATTCTTTTCGTTCTGACCCTTTTTACGGAGTTATTGCCCTTTGTTGTATAATGCTTCCCCACACATCTTCTCCAAAACTCATGCATTAATTTCCATGAAAGTTTTTAGATATGATAATTACCACCTGATGTTGTGTATCCAGGTTTTATTTTTCCAATCTGACCCTTTTTTTACTGAGAAATGTCCCTATGTTGAAAATTACTTCTCCACACAGCTCCTCCAGCACTATGCTCCCAGTTTCTACGGATTATATCCCTTTCTTGAAAATCTTTGTCCTAACATATCTCTTCCTTTACTACTAGGACGATTTTAGCAAATTTGTTCATCTGGGCTAACAACATTTCGTTTGCAAGTATGATTTTGGCATTGAAAGGGAGTACAGGAAGTATGCGAGTGACATATATATTTAAATAAGTGTACAGCTCAGTCAATAAAGAAATATTTACTGGTGGGAGACTTTATTGCTTTCGATTTCAACAAATGTTTTATTGGACAAAAACAATTGAACAAGAGGATTAGACAACAGGCTTAGCCTATATGAGTCTTCTCCTAATACTTTGCAATGCTTTGCCTTAGTAAGCCTTTAGCTTACAGTTCTGGTTTATATAGGAGCAGGGGGTATTAGTTAGCCTCGGCTTACAACTCTAGTTTGTAACTGCCAGAATGATCCAGAACAGAAGGTAGTAGTGTAAGACAATCATACTGTACATGTATTTAGAGTTTTAGTTGTAATTTGCTCTCCATATTCAACACAATAAATAAAGACATTCCTTGTTTCTACTTGCAGATTAGTGCAGCTCATGTCCAGCCAAACTCACTAGTTGCTTCTACCATGTAAGGAACAGATGGTCAAAGGAGGTACCAATTGGTCAAGGGTCCAAAGGGTCATAGCTGACAAGTAACAGATTGGAGATTGGTCAAGCTGACCACATATCTTGATTGACTGAGTGCTGACACAAACTGCCAAAATGCTGCAGCAGATTTTGCAAGACATGTTCATAGACCCAGAGCTGCTTGCAGAGCTCTCGGAAGAACAGAAACAAGTCCTTTTTGTTAAAATGCGTGAGGTATGATCTTTGTACTGCTCTCCGTGATGGGACATTTTATGGTGGGGTTTTGTCTAGCAGGATGCAATTGGCTTGGCATCATCAATACTTTTTCAAATCATATCTTCCTTGCTACTCCACCTTTCTTCTTATACTTGATTTTTAAGAAGGTAGAGTGCTGTATGATACTACTCTATTAGTGAATCAGTCAATAAGTCTACGTCTGGTAATAAGTCCACCTAAATTTATTGCAGTTCTGTATTTCATTGTCCTGTAATAAGCCCACCCATACTTCGAGTCAGAAATTCCATGTTGGCTCTCTGGGCTTATTGCAGGATCAATACAGTAATATGGGGTCTCATATGGTCCATCGCAAGTGAAGTAAAGAATTTTGTTTTACCATTATGTTGCATATAACATAAATATATATATTATTCAGCCCATCATGTACTCATAGTGATACATTATTTGATTTAATAAATAGTTTATACATGTTTTTGGTTCAGTAATATGGTCTAAAGTATGCCAAGTTTGTCTCAGAGAAAAGATTTAAGAATGCAAACATTCCCTACCTTCATGATCATATAGATCAGTAGCTAAATTTAAGATTTTTTGGGGGGAATTTTATATGAAGGGAAAAAATATATATATATAATATCCTTTTTATGCTGCAGACACCTGCTCAAAATTATTTAGTTAAGATTACTCAATTGTTTCCAACAAATATTCAGAACAGTTTTAATTATGAGAAAATATTTAAAAAAAATCAATGATTCCTCAAAACATTTTGAGAATGCACGTCAAAAGTACAATAGAGATAGCGTAAATGCTTTTCAAGTCGCTGAATAAAGCCAACTGCTATTTCTAATGAATGATTTCTACCCTTCAGAGCTCAGCCAATGGTTCTCTGAACTTGATCATGACCTCCTCTCAGGAATAGTTAACAGATCGCAGGATCACATTTATAATTTCGTGAACATATTTTTGTGGAATTTCTTTCTTTGCTTACTTTGTATACCAAGTATTAATCTATTTGTCAACACATGTGGACTTTTGCTATTGACAGGAGCAAGTACGCAGGTGGACAGAGAGTGAATTGAAGCTGGAAATAGAAGATAAAAAGTGTCCAAGGAAGCGAAAGCCAGGTATATACATGTACTGCTACGTATTTTGGGGTCAAATTGATTTGTTGTAGGTATCTAGGCTATGTGATACAGCGGCCTGTATCTGCTGCTGTAGTAGTATTCGTGTTTATATATAATAAATGTAGACTTTTGTTTTGTATGATATGTATATCCATGCAAATTGCTGTTAAGGTAGAGAGCTTGTGAAGTCCCACCCCTTTTCTACTGTTTACATCCATTGAAAGCATTCTCCTGTTAAATTAGTCGGAATTCCTCTCTATTCGTATAAAATAGAAGCAAGAGCCTTTAAAAATGATATCCAGGATACTGAAGTTAAATTTTTAAGTATGTATAGATTTAGTTGGAATGATGAAAAAGATGGTAGATGTAGTTATTTAATCTCTCAGGAACAAAATTGTTTATTCTTGATTTACCATAAAAAAAATAGCTACAAGTTAAAGTTTTATTAATCACAAATGAATTAGAAAAATATAATCTTGAAAGAATAGTTTGAGGTTATGAAATTTATTAATTTTATAGGAAGAAAGGGTTTTGTTAAGTTCCTTAATGGCAGTGACGGTCATGAATGGGTATGGGTGATGGGAGATCATGCAAAAGACAAGAAGATTGATGAGATGTTGGAGGAGGAGGCTAAGAACCAGGCTCTCAGAGAGGCGGAACTGGAAATGGAAAAATTAAGGTACGTCTGAAATTTTCAATTTTCAAGATATAGATTTCCAAATGATACATGTACATGATTCAGGTTAAAAGTTACCGGTAGATATGTTTTCCTGCCAATATGTGACATCTTTGATAGTACATAATATGATTTGGCCATGTATGTTTGTCCTTTATTCCAGTAACTTTTCTTTGTCTTGACCATAACTACTAAACTAATGAATACTTTTTAAACAAACCTGGCATGACACTTTTTAAGATCAAGGTCAAGGTCACCGCAAGAGTCAAAATTTTTGGAACAAAACTTGTAAATTGGTGGACATTTATTAATCATATTTTATGGATGTATATATACATTAACACTAGATGGTATGCCATGTATCACTGATGGATTCCTATTGCCAAGGCCATAATAATTATATTTGCAAGGTCAAAGGTCATATTGTAGTGCTTTTCCAGTGTAGAAGTTTTTAATCGCAGAACATTTTCTCTTCAATTTTCAGCAATGTATAATATGCTGTTATTTACATGTTAATTTATCTTTTAGTGTTTACCATAGTTGAGACTGGAATAGTAAAATAAAATCAGCATCTGTTAAAATCAGGAGTAAGTAAAAGTGTATGGTTTATTAAAATTGACAGCCAACAGGAGGAGTTTGAACTGAAGCAGCGAATGGATCGGGGACAGTGTGAGGAAGACGAGGCTAAGAAGAAATTGGAGGAGGACATTAGGTCTGTCATCTTACATGCCAAAATTAATTTCTCAAAACATAACTTATGTATCTAAGTTATGATGGTATGCTTTAATGAATAATAAAACAATTTATAGAGAAAAAATATAACACGGCATAGTTGCTGCCTCCAACAAAATGTTTTTATTTTCACTGGACACTGGCTATTTTTAGGAATAAAAATATGAAGTTCACTGATAGTACATGTATAGGCAGTAGACATTTTTATCTCCCATTATCAGAAAATTGAATTTTACTTTATTTTCATTGGAATATTCCATTTCCATTTTGATCCAGAACATCAGTTTGAGTTATTTTGCCATAATTTTGCCATAATTGATTTATTTCTTCTATGAATGCTATTTCATAGGCGAAAGAAAGAGGAAGCAGAAATGTATCAGTCAATAAAGGAGGCTAGGTTAATGGCACAGCGTCTCGAGGAGGAGAAAAAGAAGGAGGAACACAAACGTGTTGAAATCCTGAGGGTAAGTGTTATACTTCCTGTCTATGACTCCTTGGTCCTTCCATCCTCTCTGTAAAGTTATCCAGGTACTTCAGTCAAGTTTGTTTGCTGTGAACTAACCTATAGAATTACTTTTTTCTATGGAAGGGTTTGAATCTTGTTCATGTTTTTTTGGGCAAATTTTATGTTATGGTATATGATATTAAAACTGATACATGGCTGAAGCATAGGACTTATTTTAATGACCTAGGAAGAGCAACAATTTAAATGGTTTACTGATATATATAGGTTGTTGGACATCAGTTTTATGGTTTCGATTAAGGCAAATTCAGATGTTATAATAATAAGATAAATCTTAATGGATTAATATTATAATTCAATAGCTGAGTCCATTATACTGGTTAAATAATACATGTAGTACACATTTTTAATGACTGAATAATAGTATAAATTTTAATGTTTCAATAGTGATATAGATTTTACTGGTTTAACAGTAGTATAAATTTTAATGGTTCAATAGTGATATAGATTTTACTGGTTTAATAATAGTATACATTGTAACAGTAGAGTCAATTTCAACGGTTCACAGCAAATAATTTTTATCATAGATTGCTTTACCCCTAAAAATCTGTTAATCACTTTTCTATACATATATGTCACATTTAGTGTGCTATATATATTCATTTTGTATATTAACAGTTTTGTTTCTTATTGTTGAAAATTGTATTGCTGTAACTTTTATTTACTCATTTTTAGAATTGACAACTATGTTATCAGTCTCATTCAGATCAGATCTTTCAATCCACTTCCGTATTTTATGTAACACTGAAGGTTTGAAAAAGCTCCACTCCAAACAATGTTCTGGTAACTCCAGTAATAGATTAGCACTATAAAAGATTTCTTACAACAGTATTTGAAAGATTTTGTTATAAACGCTGTATGTAATTTAGAAGGAGTTAGATGAATATGAAACAAACCAGGTTGCTAATTCCAAAGTGTAAATGCTGGAGAAAATTCGTAGGAATTGGTTGTGTAATCTATCCCTCAAACGGAAACTTGAAATACTGATATACAAACAGTGCATGCATATGTTACAAAGAAGTAATACAAATTATATTTAAATTAGTAAAGCATTCTGGCATATTTTGCACATCCCAAGCTATCTCAAGAGAGAAGCCATTCTATTGGTCAGAACAAAGTGACATATGGTAAATAATCAGAAAGGTAACTGGAGCTGTTACCTGCATGGTGGTGCTACCACAAATCTGTAATGAAACGTAAAATGTTAATGTAGATTGAGAGGTCAGATCAGACTGGTAAACTATGAAGAGTGATTAACAGATACTGGGTAGCCTCCCTTGCCTCATTAAACAGAGTTCTCTTGTACATAATCTCTTATCCATTGTTCCGATGCACTTTACCAGAAAATACTCACTGAAGCATAACTTTCACTCTTTTTCAATTTCACCCTATGTTATAAAGGCAGGGCCATCCTGACAGCAGACTTGAGTACATATGTATTCCACAAATGACACATTGTAACTTCCACAGGGAAGGGTGAAATTAACACTGAGTGAATATGAGCCTGGCTATTTACCTTATTCTTTATGTTATCCTGGGTATACGTATCTACCACATTTAACCGTTACCTTGGGTATTTGTAATATGACCTTTTCCTTTATGTAGCTAAGGGCTTGCAAGAAATGTGAAGATCTCCAACAGGTATCAGACAACCTTACTTGTCATAGCAAGACGCAGCATGCCGTAGCTGAAGGCAGGAATGATCATTCTTCTTCTGTTCATGTTAAAAATGTAAATTTATTTTTCGATGGCAGATGCATGGGACGATTTTGGCAGTGTTTGCAGTGCATGAAGTTGGGAAATTGTACAGTTTATGATTCTCTGTTGTTAGAACATTACATCAATATATTCTTGCGTCTCATGTTGATAGGTTGTTTGTATTTTATGAACACATATTTATTCAGCAAAGAGTGCCATCGCAAGAGTTATTAACCCACAAACACACTAGTTATATAACTATACTTGCATTAACTTTCAAACTCAATATTTGTATCGGGTAAAGTTTTCTTTGTATGAGGGATATCACAATATTTATTAACCCATAAAACTTTTCTGCATTAACTCTGTATTTACAAACTCTATTTAATATGCATTAGCCAAAATGGAGATCACAACACTTATTAACCCATGGATAGTTACATATTATATACTTAGAAACTCACTCTTGTCAAACCTGCGTTAAGTGGTCAGTCACTCACAGGAGATTGTAAAAATGGTTTCTTTAATATGTTTGACCTATTATATATCAATCTAGGTTCTCATAGTTTTGTCTGATAATCAAGCTGGGACAATTATCTTTAACCCTTTCATCACTGTTGACCATAATGGACTCATCCAGATAAATGTATGGTAGAGTCGACTTAAGTTACCTAGGGGTGAAAGGGTTAAGTATTTTTCTTCCAATGGCTTAAATTAAAATTAAAAATTTAAGCAAAAAGGAAAAAATATGTAGGGAAAATTTTGAATTCTTAGCCAATGAACTAAACTTGTTGCTGTAGCGACATATTTTTACCATTTGTGCTGAAATGTTAGCAGTCAATTCGTAAATATTTTGTGTTTGCAATCAAATTAGTTGAAACGTGTAAGACCCAGATTGCTTTGATTAACAGCTGAGGTGGCCATTGATGTTATGCATGTATCACAAGAAACTAATCAGAGAACCATGTGTGATATTGTTTACATGTACCGATACATGGAGGATATTAAAATTGTTTGTGTCTTTTTATACATATAATGTAATTTATTACTTATCTGTATCTATTCTTAAAGGCATCTTCATGATTGGTAAATAAATTTGTAATCTTTAAATAAATAAATGTGTTAGTACTTTATTAATTCTGGTCCGACTCTAACTTTATAATTTACTTTATTAATCCATCATGGAAATAACCAATGTTTAATCTAAAAGTCAAAACATTTAAAACCATAAAATGGAACAGAAATTGCAAAAAATCACATTTGTGTGTGGCCATCAGCTATTCAATGCTGTTTCTTATCATGATTTCATGATGGGAGTGTGAGAGGATGGAGGGGGTGGGGGGGCTTAAACTGACCACTGTTATCTAGTTACCGTTTACAAGTGTTCCACTTTAAGGCAGGTTTGACTGTGTTATATACATTGGGTTTGTATATTTATATTAGGTATTATATCATATCTATAATAAACTATTTCTACTTCACTAAGCACTACACTTTTTAAATGTAGATAAATCTTAATAGTTTTATATATCTAATTGACTAATCCACATAATTATTATCACAAAGTCTTTGAGGATTTTAGTTTCAAATTTTAACCTTCTGACTTTCTTGAAGAGATTTGTTCATTACCTATGTATGTAATCTAAATATAATGTTTGAGAGAATTTGAATATTGTTGACACAATTGCAATGTCATTAGATTATGTAACCAATGAAATTTTTAATATTTATGATTTTAAGAGTTTTGGTTTGAAGTTTTAGCATCTGATTAACTAGTCTAAAGAAATGTTACATTTCATTTTATGTAAGATATGGCATAAATTGATGTTATGTTTTTTTTTTAAATTTTATTGAAACATATCGATCATTATGATGACTCGGACAAAACCTTATGCTGTGCGCTCTGTACTTGTGTAATCAGCCATGTAGGAGATGCTTTGTTTGTTGTTCTGCTTGATCTTCATCTCGTTTGGAAACTAAAAATGAATTTATTGGTTGTATGCATAAACCTCAACATTTTTGTGAATACCAGAAAAGGAATGTGCATTAAAGATCTTCTGGTATCTATTAGGACAGTTTATTTCATTGACAGAAAGTAGTGGTGAATTAACATGATTTTACTGAGAATATACTGGAATATATGTATATCAGACCAGTGTAGCACACTAATACAGTTGGTCACCTACACAGGCTTGACTGAGTCGCAAATTTTAATAAAAACAAGCTTTTGCTAGATTGACCAATGAAACCTCACCGAGTGATTTGCTGTGTGATCACATGTTTGAGACTGGTAGCTATTGACGAGTATTAACACATTGTTGCTTGTTTTGTGCCTAATGTTGCAAGTATTTGGATTGTTTTTGCCTCCAGTTTGTGCAGATGTTGTGAAGGAATTTTAAAATGTTGAGCATCAACCATAATGCTTCGTATAGTACATTTATGCACGACCACACACAAGGAAACAGTTTACCTGTTTATTACCTAGTATATGTCGCAATGTATACAAGTTAACTCATCATTACCAAATATATCCTACAGTTCCTTAAATACGACAGTAACACACAATTCAATTTTATATTTAAAAAAACCACACACAATTTAACTTGAAAGAGAATTTTGTCAGTACAAGACCGTGTCATACAACAGCAACGAACCTTCTATGAATGAATGTAGTCCAGCCACAAACAGATTCATTGGTGATTTTTTTCATTCATTTTCATATTCTTGAAAAAGGTGTCAGTTTCTTTGTCAGCATTTTTTCTTCAATGTCATTTTAGTTAAGTTTTTTCACGTTTACATAGGAACTTACTAGGTGGATGTTTTCCATTATTTTCACTTCGACAGATATTTTCATCCAGCCACAGTCGGTCACCATGTCAACAGGGTGTGACAACCTTAGAACCTTTGTATGCTTTAGGTTGTGGTTCAAAACAGGATCAGAGCATTGTGGAACAACTTGTCTTTGACCTCTTCACAGAGTCTTAAAAAAATTGTATCTGTTTATTTGCTCATCTGGTCTGGGGGTGGTGGCTTTGGTGAGAGTATTTAATGTTCACTTTTTTTTCTTAAAAATATTACTCAGGAGAAAACATTTTAAACTCATCAGACATTGTTGGTAATATGTTTGGTTGTTTAAGAAGTAATTTCTATGTGACCCCTATTGTGGTAAACAAACTTACGTGTATAGGATCTGGCATATGCGATTGACGCTATTTGTGATTGGTTAAGTCAAAATTTCAGACAGTTTTAGACTTAAGATTGTTTCATGATCTCGGGGCCTGGTCTTTGTTCATCACCTCCTCAATGATGGTTGCCCTTTCATTTCATTTCCTAGTTCCCTGAATAATTAGCATCTTTCTCAAGCCTAGTCCTGTAGTTCCTTCCTGCATCCAAAGGTAGTTTGCAGTTGGTCCTGTACACACACTCTATGATGTTCTTGTCCACTTGTCTTTCGGGTTGTACTAGTACTCATCTTGCTGTATGGAAATGTTTCACTGCTGTTGAGATGTTGTGATTCCTTAAATTCTTTCCATAGCTTAGAATTATCCTTTTATATATATTCCATAATGACACTACCTCTATTCTGTGGCTGTTTTTCCCCCCACCTGATCTAAGGTTTGGCTTATTTCTCCTCCATTTTATCTGTTCCTTGTCACTAGTCCAGCTGGGATACCCACACGTCTTCAGAGCTGATCAGATGTGCCCATCTTTTCTGTGTCAATCTTGGGTTCTGTAACAGTTGTAGGACGCCTTAATCTAGCAGGGGTCTGACTACCCAAAGTTTTTGATGGAGAGGGTGATGGGAAGAGAAATAAAGGTATTGATCAGAGTTTATTTAAGGAAAAGTTTTGCATGTTGAGTCATTCTTTCATTCAATCGCATGATCATTTGAAAGTCTTCATGGTTTATAAATGATTCTTGAATAGAATGCAGTAAGTTTAAACCTACATCATCTATAATCTTAATATTTCTGTTCATGTTTAAGATTTAACAAATATTTTTTTCATTAATTTATTTAAGTACATGTTGTGAAGCTTAGTTTTATTTGGTATAACATCTGCTATATATATATGTTTTATTTGGTATAACTATATATATATGTTTTATTTGGTATAACATCTGCTATATATATATGTTTTATTTGGTATAACATCTGCTATATATATATGAATGGAAATGCTACACATACTACATTTTTTGTAAGATTTTTTTTTATTGTAATTTTTTTGTGGGGGAAGGGGAAGTTGTGCAAAGGGCAGGTATATACATTTTTGGCAATCCATTTGTATTGTGTATGAAAATTCAACTTGATTTGTTGTACAGTTACAAAGTTTTATTAACCATTATTACCCCGTACCTTTTCACATCTAAGAAAAATCAAACCCCGACCAACCTGGTTAAAGACATTAGTGTGGCCAACCACTGTACTAGCAACCACTGTACCTAGCAACCACTGTACCTAGCAACCACTGTACTAGCAACCACTGTACCTAGCAACCACTGTCAGTAAGGTTGTTATATGGTGAATATCTTTGAAATGTTGAAAACATGTTAAATTGGTACACACAAGTTATATGGAGGTAAAATCCTAGAAAATTAAACATCGACTATCAAGAAACCAGTTTTTGAATGATTTACAATATTTAGAGTGAGAGTAGCCTCCCTTTAATTAATCATACTTTTAGTCCACAAGTGGGGTATACGTAAGATATGAAAAAAATTAATGGCAGTTAAGTATGAGTGACATGTTTTTTATATAAAATACATAAAATATATTAAGGAAAATTTACCAATTAAGTGTAAGAAAGTCTTTCCTGAAAGGTTACTTACAATAAATATGAACAAGTCACAGTATATATGTAACTATCAAGTCATTTATTGTAAAATCAAAAAAGATATTTTAGATGAATGTGCTTTTTGTTTGCTGTCACTCCACTGTTTGTGAGACATTGCGACACTTGCTTTGTTATTGTCTCAAAAAGATTACAGTTAATGACCGAGTTTGAGGTCAACAAGTGTACCTCTGAACTTTCTAGGTGTATTATGTCTCATAAATGTTAGAGTTTTAATGATCATGACAGAATAAGAGGTTAACAAGCATACTGCTGGACAGGATTGATCAGAAACGTTTTTGATTACCAATCATTTAGTAGAAATTTGGTTTAGTTCAGGAAATTTTTCAAAATAATTAGGATTTATAAAGGAATGTAATGAGCATTTGGGCCACAGGAAGATGCTTTAAGGCAAAAAATTGAAGCTGTAAATAGTCTCAAAATGCAGTCCATATGTGTTTCAGAAATGACAAACAGCTAATTTGGTATGTTTGAAAATGATCATTTGGCTGAAAATGATATCGATAAATAACTTGAAATTTAAATTTGCAAATATTTGATAATTGGTTATGCAGAAAACATTCTGATGAAAGGTTTGAAATTTCCTTTGTTTCTTGTTCTTAAACAGTATTTTTTGCATATTTAGTATCATAGTTTTGGTTTCTCTTCAATCGGAGAACACCGTTAATGTTCTTGATGTTGTGATTTGAAATCTTTGTTCTCTGTCTGCAGTCATCCTTTGCCCAGGAACGTCGCGTCTCCATGGAAAAGGTTGAGAAGGCAAAACGTCGCCGTAGTAATGAACTGTACGTGCGATGGAAGGAGATGAGGAGACAGATAGAACAAACAGCAGAGGAGGAGTCCCAAGAGGTAGAGGATAACTGGCACCATAGAGGTAAGGTCACAGGAATTAATTAGGGTCAGGTGAAACGGTCATAGAAGATTGAAAGGTCAAAAGTCATAATGGAGTTTTTCAAATCATATTAGGTTGAAAAGGTCTAAAATTATGAATGAATGAAATGTCATAGAAAATTTCAAATGGGGAAATAAAATTTTAATGCTAATTATAGAAAGGGTAAATCCCTGGTAACATTTGTCTGCACACCTTTCTTAGATTACTGTTACTTAATATAGAATATTTGATGTTTTCAAACTTTAGTTGTGTTATACACTTCAGATTTCTGATCACTTGCAGTTGCAAGATTATGAGTATTGTGTGTGATGCCTTCTGCAACATCAGTATTGTTAGACGTTTTATAAGACCACTGTAATAATTGTACAGGTATTGTGTAAAAATAAATCAGAAAAAGTAATCAGTTGATTTGATTGCTGGTCTTAAAAACTAACCTCTTATTGAAATGTCCTATGTTGTGTGAAAAGGAGTCTAGACACATTGTTTGATTTTACAAGCTTTTTAACATGTGTTGTGTAGAGAAACAGGCCAAGGAAGCTGAGAAACAGATGCAGACATTAGCCAAGCGAGCCCGCGAGGAGCACCATAACTCCCTACGCATCAGTTCAAGTGTCATCAGTGCGGCATCAGCATTCGCAGACGGAACAAAACCTCCTCTCCCCCCAAAGTAAGCACTAACTAGCAATGTCCTCCTCTCCCCACAAAGAAAGCACTAAATAGCATTGTCCTCCTCTCCCCACAAAGTAAGCACTAAATAGCAATGTCTTCCTCTCCCACCAAAGTAAGCACTAAATAGCAATGTCCTCCCTTTTCCCCAAAAAATAAGCACTAAATAGCAATGTCCTTCTCTGACCCCAAAGTAAGCACTAAATAGCATTGTCATCCTCTCCCCCCAAAGTAAGCACTAAATAGCATTGTCTTCCTCTCCCCCCAAAGTAAGCACTAAATAGCATTGTCCCCTGCTCCCCCCGAAGTAAGCACTAACTAGAAATGTCCTCCTCTCCCCCCAAAGTAAGCACTAAATAGCATTGTCTTCCTCTCCCCCCAAAGTAAGCACTAACTAGCAATGTCCTCCTCTCCCCCCAAAGTAAGCACTAAATAGCATTGTCCTCCTCTCCCCCCAAAGTAAGTACTAAATAGCAATGTCCTCCCTTTTCCCCAAAAAATAAGCACTAAATAGCATTGTCCTCTTCTCCCCCCGAAGTAAGCACTAACTAGAAATGTCCTCCTGTCCCCCCAAAGTAAGCACTAACTAGCATTGTAAAATTGTAGTTTGAATAACATTTCATTGTTGGGATATTCCTAGATGTTTAATTCTCCCTAGATAATCTCCAAGTTCACATGCAAATTAACCCATTCACCCCTAAAGTCACATTTGAACGTGACCAAATCAAAAACTGGGCAAGTCCAGTTTGATTATGTAGGGGTGAATGAGTTAACAGGAGAGGCAAAACCCTTTTTACCACAAAAATAGCAAAATATGTACTTCTTGTGTTGGATTGGGATAATTTTGTAATTTTGTAGATCTTCATAATCATGATGATTACCCTTTTCATAATGTGAGAACTAGTTCATTGAAAATGTGTAAGTGTCTCTCAATAAGATGTTTAAGGTTACCTGTAGTTTTACTGGTAGTGTTTCCTGTACTTACATGTATCATCTGTCTTAATTAGATTGTCATCCTTCAGGACAAAATGTTCATTAATCCATTTTCCATGTGCAGATTCATGGGGTGGATATGATTTTTAATATGTTCACAGTGAGATATGTATATTTCACAGATGTGTCTACAATTCAGAAACTAGTCTTCTGTCAAGTTCAGATTTTGATATGAATATCTGGATTTTAATAAGTTCTTTGCTGGACAATATTGGATAATTCTGAAGGATGTCATAAACGATCATCTTCCCTGTTTAGCGTGAAATATATATCAGTATAGGTTCTTATCACTTGCATAGATTTTTGTGTTTGTGGAACTAAATACAAGTCAGGAACTTGACAGAAAGTGAGAGAAGTCCATGCGAGTGATATGTAGTTCTATTCCTGCCCAATATTGTAGATAAGAAGTTATCATAAAATAGTCTAGATTTCGTTGATATATACCTGATATGTGTAACCTGCATTTCATCTTTCATATTCCATGCATACTTTCATTTTCACTTAAATGTCTTTCCTAAATCATGATGATAATAAAAAAGGAAAATCAGGAAGACCTCATTGTAAGTGTTTTATCTTCAAAATCATGATTAACAGATAAGATCATGTTAATGAGAAAACATTTCTTTATTTATTTGAGGGTAATTGAGATATAGATGTCAAGCCCATAACTGACTCAGATTTTTATAAATGTCTTTTGTTACCATCATTTTAATTGGACAAACCATCCAGCAAACTTTTGATACAATGATTTTGATTGGTCAGGCCCAAATATCTTACACAAAATGCCTTGGCTAGTCAGAATGGAATGTAAGTAGACTTTTCTCTATATGCCTGCTCGTTCAGTTACAAATCTTTGAAAAATGGGAAATTGTCAAGTGGTAATTGTCAGAACCTAGAAAAAAAATGTGATTTCATGAAATAAAATGTAACTTGATGTTTTGTCAGAGAGGTGTTTTTTGAAATGTCAGGTGTAATATTTTTAAAAACTTAAGTTATTTTTAATGCATTGCATTATCAGGTTGTGACAATTTTCACTGCATGTTTATACACTTGAATAAATCTTACTTTACATATCATGCTAGCTCTGTTTATTCATCACAATCATTTTATCCTCATTATGAAATTTTGCATTCCATTCTTAAAGTCCATTTCCCATCTACCTTTTTCTCACAGCGTTATGCTTCTCTGTCTCTGAATGTGGCCATCTACCATTTACACTTCTCTACCTTCTGCCTGTATGATTTTATCAGGTTGACTGGCCATTAAGACACTATCATATAACCTGTCTTCAGCATTTTCCTTCATAGCTTCATCCCATTTTCCCTCTCAACCTTTTTAATATCCCAGCCAACTTTACCTTCCTGTTTCACATTTTAACCTCCTCATCCCAACCTAGCTTCATCCCATCTTCTCCTGTGCTCCTGTCTGTTTCATCTCCATCCTCTCTACATCACCTAAAACCACCCCCTCCCCACCCCTGCCTGTCTCTCATATCCCATAGCAGCTAATTATAAAGGCATGTAGAGTAGATTTGCCTGTTCCTTTATGCATGCTAGTTTATAACAAAGTTATAATTTATTTGTTGATACGTTTTACTGACAACACTTTTAGGCTATTTTGAGAGACGACATGGAACTTTGGAAATCATGGAAAATTCCTGGAAGATTATATGCATGCATAAGGATATATTGTTATAATATCATGTTTTTACTGAGGAAAGGGAAATACTCCCTCAATGGTCATTATACATTTGTGTAAAATATAAGGCTCTTGTGGTCAGTATTTCTCTACATAGCAATGTAGTTGTATATGTTAGACCAAGACGGAAACTAACCAGTGGCATAACCTAACATCAGGAACCAATTAAGGCCTAATTCTGAACCATTTATGGATAAGTATCCCATGAAGAAAAAGAAACATCTATCTCTTGAAGTTTTACCTCAGAGATTTATTATTTTGATTAATTCCATCAATATGAAAATTTTCTTCGATTTTTGAAATGTTTATATTCTATAGCCTCTGATTGGTTGAGACAATAACAGTAATTATAACTTGAGTTCTATGTGGTTGACTTTGGTGATACGTTCTTGGAGTAATGCACAAGAGATAAACTTAATATTTGAAGGCTGTTTTTTAAATTTCCATATTCAAGATGGCTGCTATGGCCTCTGATTGGCTGAGACAATAATGCTTATCACTTGAGTTTTCTAGGGCAGATTTTGGAGATAATTTTTGGGAGTGATACATAGATAGGCAGACTGTTAAATTTTAAATGTCAGGATTCTAGGAGGCAGTAATGCCCTCTGATAAGCAGAGATATAAAAACTTCAATAGATGAGGAGATTGGGTTTAGTTTGCCTTTTGCTTTCAGCTCTACATCCTCGATATCCAGGGGTTATGCTCACTTTTACTCTCTGCACCCCTGGAATATGTCATAGCAAAATTGAAGGCACACAGCTAGCTATTTGATTGGTCTCATATAATAAAAAAAAACTGACCAATCACTAGTCTGATGTACCTGCCTTTACAGAGGACTGACACCCGACTTTAAAGCCAGTCAATTTTACTGTTTCACAACCGACAGATCTATTTGATGTACATTAAAGAATCAAACTAATTTTCTGGTCTCATCCATAAGATGATGCTTACTGAGCCTTCAATTTTTCTGACATATCCAGGGGTGCAGAGAGTGAAAGTGAGCGTAATCCCTGGAGTATCGAGGAGGACAGTTCTAGTAACTTCGGAAATATAATAAATAATGCAACCTAACCTTCCTAAATAAATATTAAAAATTCAGATTTTTCATGATGCATTTTAACATTTTATTCATACAAAACAGGAGTTTATCAGGGTGCTTTCTAAGGACCCATTCCCAATCAAAAAGTGTCCTAATTTGTCCCCTTTTAAATTCCCACTTCAGAAACATAAATGCATATATTTTCTCATGAGTGATGGAGTTTTCAAACTGCATAACATATGTAAGAGGATAGAATGATTATGTCGTCATAAGAAAGACAAAAGCTAAACAGTCTAATTTCATGTATTCAAAGTTCCTACAGTGATTATCCAAGTCTCCCACAATGGTTCTTATGTCAATGGTTTGTTCCATGTTTCATCACAGAGTCAGTCTCCCTAAACCCCTGATAAATGGTGCTGCATGGCATGTGATGGATGTATATTATTTTTCCACTGTGGAAATCTTGTTGTAACTTTTAACAAATTGGGTTTTCTGTTTAACCATGTCACAAAGTCCTTCATAACAACATAGCAGGTAGTTTGATATTCCATATAATATGTCAGTGTCAACGAAATTCCTTATGACATACATGTTCATATGTCTCAGGCCGAGTTTTATCATGAATGTGAACCATGCATATTTATTCAAAATTAATGAGGTCACCATAGACTACAGAGTACAAATCTATTGCATGTCCTGAAAGCGAGGAATGTAAATTCATGACACATATTAATTCTGATCCAAACATTTTTTCCTTGCAATACATTTTATCAAGCCAAAATAACAAAAAGAGTTCATGTAAAATCACATTCAATGTGTTGTCAACTGCATGGTATGTATGTTTGCAAGCAGCTTGTTTCCCACAAGAGGGCGCTGTATGTTGTGCTATTTAGTTATATTTATCACTGGATTCTTCAAGAGATAAAACTGACCACAGTGACCTTCACTATTGGAAGGATTTGTATCAAACTTTGCTTGCCAGAAGTGATATGTTTTGGGGGGATGTGGGCTGCTTTCAAAAATCAGCAGAAGGCTAGCATAATTGATGCTGGTATTGCAGCTGGTGAGTTCTGATTGATTGATAGTTTCTGCAGGCTAAGTTGAATATTTATTGACTAATCTGACCAAACATTACCATGAAGTATGTTTAACAGATACAAACTGCTTTTCATGAGGACCGTGATTTACACATAAGTTGTTACTGTATATAGCCAATTCTGATTGGTCAGGGTTTTTTCCAGCCTAGCCTAGCTCGGATGTTGACAGACTAATTTCCATCATAAGATGTATTTTGGATGATACAGGATTCATTTTTGCAGATAAAAATGCATGTCTAAATTCTAGCAACTGTATAACTCTCCTGCTGAACAGATTTAGTTATTGTCTGATATAAAAGTGGGTACACACATAGACATTGTTCCCGGAGTTTTGCCAATTAACTGGTGAGAACTGTAAAGTGCCTGCCTTGCAATACTTAATGCTTTGTGGATTAGAACCTTGCAGTCTGGCATTCAGCTTTTCTGAAGCTTGTCTGAAATATTTGTACATATTATGAAATTATTATCGTTGTACGATATTTTTCTCTAGGGGTTGGATAATACACTAATTTCGAGGCTATATATGTGACTCATAAATGATACATCTATTAATGTACCGAGCACAGTATGGCTATGATATTACATTGTAATATGCATTACAGCTACAATAATAAATACAGATAATTATGACAATGAACTTACCGCAAGGCTTCTGAAAAAGTAGAAAAAGGCATAACATTCCAAACAAAAACTTAGTTATACTAGAAAGGCCACTGAGAAGGAAATTTGACAGTAAAATTTGACACAACCCGACAAATGTTCGATTATAAACCATGGAATGAATTTCTGGAGTATAATGGTGAAGTCTACACTATGGTGATATTTCATCACAATACCTTTACTGTGAAAGTACGTTAAAGTGTGTTCTGTGACTTTTCTATAGTTTGATATCAAAGGAAAAGATGTAGGTTGGAGCATCATTGTGTTGAATTGACTTTGAGTGGTACTGTAGAAGTTTTTTGTTATTTTGGAACAGGATACAAACTCTGGAGTACTGGTAGGCTTGGGTCTGACATCAGGAGTCGAAAGAATGTCAGACCGTTAAACAGGGTCTTAAAATAATTTTATAGATATCTGCATCTAACCAATTTGTTTATGTATGAATCATATATGAAATCAATAACAATGCAGAGCAGCTGGGACCTTGTCACTGTTCTTAGAAAAAAACAAGGTTTCACTTTATATGGATGTTTTTATGTTGTATAGAAGTGGCAATAAAGTGTCGAGAAAGAAGCGAAGTATGCGACCTAAAAACAAAGATGACGTCATCAAGTGGTTCCTGGAGGAGGAAAAGCCACAGGGAGTTGGTATAGATCTTAAAACTAAGACTGTGGCTACCTGGTTCCATGGTGAGTGTCTGTACGTGGCTGCATTTTGGATAAGACCAATGGATACTCTCCATTGATGCAGATATATGTATAAGAATTAGCCTGTGTTCCTCATGTATAAGAAGTAAAGCTGTGCTCCTCAATAATGTTTTGGTAAAATGACTGTTAACTTGTATATTGCTTTTAGTAAACATTTATACAATTACTGACTGCGTAGAACCACAGATGGTCACTAAGATGTTTAGGGAAAGAGGCACGGTAACCAAAGGGGTTGTGGGTTTGATTCAGGTCACGGCACTGTGTTGTATCCTTGAGCAAGATACTTTACTCCGCTTGTTCAAGTCTACTCAGCTGTAAATGAGTACGTGGTTGGGCAGTGCTAGAATTGTTGATTGCTACCTGTGAGCGCCGAAATGGCAGCACCGGCTGTATGCTCCCCATGGAGTTGAGAAAGATATTGACTGGTTGGGATTTTCACTAATTTGTGAACTGCTTTGAGACAACCTATGAACTAGGTTGTAATACTTACCATTTAACAAATTGCGTCAAGGACTCTCTTTTGTCTTGCAGTGATGAAAAAATTAGCTACTTGCCTTGTAGAAATGTATTAATTTCCTCTAAATTCACTTCTTGTTTGATTATTCTGCTAAGTAATCCTTGATTCCCTAAAATTAGGGGTCGGTAAAGTTAGGATTCACTGTACTTTTCATGATTTTTTTTTCAGGTGTGATATCTCGGGTAGATGCTGAGCTCATGTTACAGTCAAAGACACTGGGAGCGTTCCTAGTGCGTGTCAGCGAGCGAGTTTGGGGTTACACGATATCGTACCGAGCAGAGGATCGGTGTAAACACTTCCTCATAGACACGTCAGAGGCGGGTTACCAGTTCTTTGGTGCTAACCAGGTCCTCCATGCTTCTCTCCATGAACTTATAGAATTTCACAAAGTAAGTTTTAAACACAATACATCTCCAGCACATACACACCATAGGGAGATATTAGCCAGGTGGCATATGAATAGTAGTTAGCGCCTGATAAGGCAGCTCCTACGAATTCCTCAATATTGTATTGATTAATATATATGCTAATTGTATTGACTGTATAAAAATTGAATATCTATGTACTGTAAAGTGCTTTAGAGTGGCTTATGTTAGCTAGATAAGGCGCTATATCAAATGTTGTATTTTTTTATTTTTTTTATTTTTTTTAAAATACTGCTCACAGATCTTTGTTGATTTTATTGTAATATTTCTTCTTTGATGTTTGTTTGTGTTATTTGTACGATGTGTAACCTTCTGTTGGTCTGTTATTTTTCCTGTTCTGGAAACTTAGATATGGTTTCATGTATCTTGTTGAGAACAAGTCAGCAACTCTCCAGGAGTGGCAAAACGTGTCACAGCTTAAAATGTCCCTATTTGTTTAAATATATATATATCTCTTCTATATTTCTATTACAGAATAACCCAATTACGGTGATGGGAGGGGAGAAACTACGCCACCCTGTAGGACAGTCCAAGGACCCACCAGATTACCAAGGCCTGCTGCAGCCCAAAATTCTGGAGAGTACCTCGCTATGATATATTCATAGACTACATACATGTACTAGGATTTTGTTTTGTGAAACTATACATAAGCATAAGCATAGATCTTACAACAGTTACGTATACCTGCTGTTGTCAAGTCTTGGAAACTTACTTTATTTTTTTGTATGATATGATTGTATTTTTTTATGTGTATATTTGACCATGTTGGAACAGTCTTTTATCCTTATGGCTAATGGAACTGTTATGGTTTTGAGAATCATTTCAAGCTTTTATACTCATTATTTTTTTTTAATTAATGATTCTTCTTGATCTGATTTCATAACATTTTTTCCGCCTCTAAGCTTGGGACGTTGATTTAAGCATTCATTTGATATTTTTTGAATAGCTGGTTTTGTATACATGAAAATTTTTGCAATGTTTACTGTAAGCAAACTGAAAATGATTTGGACCAGGAAAAATTATCTAGTTGTACTAAAAAGTATTTTTCTTGGTTTTGTAAACACAGAGTGATGTTTTGCTATTTATATCTAAAACGTAAAATACTATGGTTGTTTCGGTTTCACAAAACTAACTATTAATCAAAATAGAATTTCCCACCCGTTCTAAATATAGAATCTAAATGTCACTGCTGATAAGAAATAATTAAATTTATCCAGAAACACTTATTATCTGACTGTGACATTTATAGGTTTTAAGTTATGCAATAAAAAGAATTATCTTCCAATCTTAAAATATATATTTTTTAATTTCTTATGGGCTAAAAGGATGCATGTGTAATGTGTATTTTTGTGTAAATTGCAATACTGTAGAAAGGGTACTTGTTTTTCATGAACCTGCCATTTATCATTGAATATTTTTGTTGTTACCGGTTCTGTCATTTTGAAATTGACCTTTAAATATACAACAGAATTTCACAAGCCATGTTTCTGTCTATTACTCTCCACATATTGTTGCAGGAAAACACATATATAAAATCTGGTGAAAATTGCAGTAGAATTTGCATCTGAAAATGTCTAGAAAGAGAAAAAATATTTTTAAGTTTCCTTTGTTTGTACTAGGTGATACTAACAGAGTAATTTTTCAACTGGCTGGAATTTCACTTGAACAACTCCACCAGTGTAATCATATGGGGTATGGCTTGTGAAATTCTGATGAATATTACTTAGAAATAGCCAAAAAGGGAAGCCAACAAGTTTACGTAACGGACATCAAATGAAATTGACAACATGTTTTGCTGTAATCATAATTTACAGCTTGTTTTACATATAAGGCTGTTTCAATTGTTTAATTCTTTCAGTCTGGGTTGTGTTGCTTATAAAGATGATGACACAAATATACTGAATGTAATTATTTTAAAAACTGATTTTGTATGATTTCGTTTGAAGATTTTTACGTAAATTGGTTGTCGATGAAAAACTGTTAAAACAGTGCATGTGATTTTGTTGTTATTGTTTTGGTACAACTGTTGTGTAATTGTCACTATTCTAAAGTTTTATATTTAGTATGAAGTGCTATTTGTGTCTTCATAGATTCTCTTTTATGTACATGAAGGATTGTTTACATAATATAACAAAATGGTGTACATGTCATAGTCGGTAAAGATGGTCATTATATCAAAAGTCTTGAAGGTTTTAATTTTCCTAGAGGATTTTAGTTCAGTTCGAAAAGGTTCCCTAAAGATGCCTAATCATGGTTCTTACTAAATTATATATCTGTTTGTCAAGTGTTGATTGTGATTTTGTCTGGTGGTTGTGCAAAAAATGTGTTGTTTACACTTTATTTTTTGTTTCTTGGTTTTAGAAATGTTATTTCTTTATGATTAGATGTATGTAACATTATCTAAAATGATGTTTTAAAATCTCAATTTTGTGGTTAACAGAAACAATTTGATATTTTCTTTTACGTTTTTTTTAAAACATATGAAATGAGTTTGATATTGAATGAAATTTAAAATACGAAAACCTTTTAATATAAATCAATGGAATCATTTTAGGCTGTGGATGAGTAGGCAGGTAGGATACTTACATAAGAATCTTGATTATTTTCTATTGAATACAAGGAATACGATTTTACTAATGAAAACAAATTTGTAGGTAGGTCTTGTTTTAAGATCAGAGGGGAAAAAGTGAAGAATGTTGACATCAAAAGAAATCCAAGGGGGATAATCCCAGCAATGTGTCATTTTGAAGTAGCTTAGTGTATAGAGATATAGAGTTTATACATCTGTGAATGTTAAAATACCACACCATAAAGTCAGTTTAACCAGAGTGATTCCAAACTTAGGTATATTGAGAGGGTAAAATTAAACTGATGATGTTCCTCTATTTCCTTTTTCGTACAAATAAATCTTCACAACAAAGAAGGTATTAAAAGTATGATATTAAACCTGTGATTCAATCTGGACACAAATGTCGTGTAAACATACTTATTTTAGGGGTATTCCTATTTAAACAGTTGTATTTTATCATTTAAGGATATGAATTTTAATTTTCAGATAATTGAAGTGCATCATCCGTTTTAAAGGAAAGGGTAATTCACTAACTCTACCTATGGTCTGATAAATTACAAAATATTGATTTATTTCATTTACCAATAGCAGACTTTTTTGCAATTGAGTATGTATATATTCATTTGTTTCATCTCTGTTTTCAGCAGTATTTTTTTATTCTTTTCTTTAAATTTCAAATGTTGACTTGACCAAAATCAAATAATCCGTAGTACAATGTAAACCCACCGTAATTTATAACAACTGTGTTGGACACCTAATGTGTTTAATAGCCAAATGAAAAGCTTACAAGATGCTGATCTTTTTAGAGGTTTGATCTTTTTAGGAGATAATTATGTAGGTACTAATGTAGATGATAGATATGTAATTTTATTGTGAGAATATCTGTAAGAGAAAAATCCTGGTGAAGTATTTAGTGCCATGAGGTTATCTAACTGGCCCTGGAATTGTAAAATACTCATTTCAAAAGTGTGGCATATTCATGCACAGAAAATACAGGGTAAATGGAGGTAGGTTTCAACATGTGTTGCTGTATATCGTTAAAATTGGTCAGAGTAATCTTAGCCCCACCCAAATAACAGCCTGCAGGTGTTTGATTATAAAGATGATACAAGTCTGATAAAGCATATGTAAGCGTGTCTTATGATACTGTCAATAGAAATTATTATTTTATTTTTAATGAAAATGTCCTTGTTTTTTTCTTTAATTTCAATCAGATGAATTCAGTAATTGTTATTTTCTTAAAACAGTACTATCGAACCTGATCAAATCATTCAAGGACATTTTTTTTACAACATTTCTCTTGCTTGATCTGTAGAAAGGCATTGATTAGCATGTTCTGAGACTCTCCACATCTTTTTACAGGACTTATCCAAATTTGTGCAGTATGCATATATTTTAGATGAAAATACATTAATGAAAATGTAAATTCTAAAATTAAAGCATAAAAAAGGTTGTGTTTTTAAGAACCAATTTACTTTATATTCAGGAATCCATTTTGATATTTTAAAGATACTGGTAAAGAAATTGTAATAAGATGGTACAAATCATATATCTTTGTAATGTATGTGGTTGCTCAATTTCATGTGCTTGATGTTTTTGTGATGCGAGTTTTGTCTTTTTTTTTAATATTTCTGTCATCTTCAAGTCTGTGTTCTTTGATGAACTTTGCAATAATTTGAATATTTTAGTATATTTAACCCTCTTTTTTTTATTTGAAGTTTTTGTCATATTTCACAGATTTTATTGTGGATCTTTTATATATTTGCACATAACGAAGTTTTGCCTTTGATCACTTCAGCTTAGCTACCAAGTGAATATGATGACGAATAGCCCTCAACAGATAGGAAATTAAGCTAATTTTGCCAAGTGAATTATGGTTAGTGGTTTAAACAGCTACCCGGGTAAATTACAGACAATCATACCACCAGCATTCTCCAACTTGCAAAAAAACAAAATATATTGCTTAAGATAGCCAGTATGGATTACCTGTCTAGAATTGTAGAATTCAGGGATGTTTCTTGGCTTGATGAATTCAAAGTCTGTCTTGTTCAGACTTGGGATTTCATATCAATTTCCATAGTATTTTTCATCCCTGGTGAACCTACCGCCATAAAAGTACATGGACCAAATTCAGCAGGTGAGAACAGTTATTTGAGAACTTCACAAACCTCTAGATTAGTACGATATTTTTTTATATTTTTTTTAAGACTTTATATTTGTCTCCACGGTAGGATATATATATATAATTAAAATGCAGATTTATGTCTGAAAATCTTGAACATTTTGCTCTCGCATATCTAGTTTGTCAAAAGTGTAGATGGTGCATAAATATAAGCTGTTGTATTTGATAATAAAATGTTGTTTATAGATTTGTGTCTGATATAAAAAGCTTTGTAGACAAAATATACCTATTTTGTTTTGTTAGCATATTGTGCATATCTCATTTAAAACATTATTTTACTTTTATCATGCGAGTACCATATCTGTACTGATTTTGTAAATCATTACTTTATAATAAATAATAATATTTTGTTTATTTTAAAATATATAATATAAACATGCAAGTCTTTGATATTTAGATTTACATACCTAAATTTTAAATGACTTTGAGATAAATAATTTGGTGATTAAACATGGTTGTTTTGTGTTTTAATTCATTTATTTTCATACGCCTGCCAAAAGTGATACATATAATGTTATCACCCCAACTGACTGTTGGTCTGTCCATCTGTCTGTCTGTCCATCTGTCTGTCTGTTTAACCTTTGACCTCAACCAGTCCCAGAGTTGGACCAGGCTTTTGAGAATTGTTGTGTATGAGAATACAGTATACTGGGAAATTGTCGCCACAGTTTTTACATGTGAAGGGAAAAACTAACATAAGGCAAAAATGGATTTTATTGGCAAAGACTGAATACTTAACTGGTGGAAAGATTCCTGGCATACAGAAATATGAAGATTAGGATATGGTCATTCCTCCAATACACTTAAATTCTTTTGAATAAGGGAGGCAATCGCTTAAATGAAAACTAGATAGCAGAAAAAATTTGGACATGACTAGCTCCCTAGAAAAATTACAAATAGTGACCAGGACTTGACTAGCTCCCTAGAGTGATGACAAATAATGACCAGGACTTGACTAGCTCCCTAGAGTGATGTCAAATGGTGCCGAGGACTTGTCTAGCTCCCTAGATTGATGACAAATAGTGACCAGGACTTGCCTAGCTCCCCCGAGTGATGACAAATAGTGACCAGGACTTGACTATCTCTCTAGAGTGATGACAAATAGTGACAAGGACTTTACTAGCTCCTTAGAGTGATGGTAAATAGTGATCAGGACTTGGCGAGCTCCCTAGATTGATGACAAATAGTGACCAGGACTTGCCTAGCTCCCTAGAGTGATGACAAATGGTGACCAGGACTTGGCTAGCTCCCTAGAGGGATGACAAATAGTGACCAGGACTTTACTAGCTCCCTAGAGTGATGACAAATAGTGACAAGGACATGACTAGCTCCCTAGAGTGATGACAAATGGTGATCAGGACTTAACTAGCTCCCTAGAGTGATGACAAATCGTGACCAGGACTTGACTAGCTCTCTAGAGTGATGACAAATAGTGACAAGGACTTTACTAGCTCCTTAGAGTGATGGTAAATAGTGATCAGGACTTGGCTAGCTCCCTAGAGTGATGACAAATAGTGAACAGGACTTGACTAGCTCCCTAGAGTGATGACAAAATAGTGAACAGGACTTTACTAGCTCCCTGGAGTGATGACAAATAGTGACCAGGATGTGACTAGCTCCTTAGAGTGATGACAAATAGTGATCAGGACTTGGCTAGCTCCCTAGATTGATGAAAAATAGTGACCAGGACTTGACTAGCTCCCCAGAGTGATGACAAATAGTGACCAGGACTTGACTAGAGTGATGACAAATCGTGACCAGGACTTGACTAGCTCTCTAGAGTGATGACAAATAGGATGACAAATGGTGACCAGGACTTGACTAGCTCCCTAGAGGGATGACAAATAGTGACCAGGACATGACTAGCACCCTAGAGTGATGACAAATAGTGACCAGGACATGACTGGCTCCCTAGAGTGATGACAAATGGTGACCAGGACATGACTAACTCCTTAGAGTGATGACAAATAGTTACCAGGACATGACTAACTCCTTAGAGTGATGACAAATAGTGACCAGGACTTGGCTAGCTCCCTAGATTGATAACGAATAGTGACCAGGACTTGACTAGCTCCCTAGAGTGATGTCAAATGGTGCCGAGGACTTGTCTAGCTCCCTAGATTGATGACAAATAGTGACCAGGACTTGACTATCTCTCTAGAGTGATGACAAATAGTGACAAGGACTTGGCTAGCTCCTTAGAGTGATGGCAAATAGTGATCAGGACTTGGCTAGCTCGCTAGATTGATGACAAATAGTGACCAGGACTTGCCTAGCTCCCTAGAGTGATGACAAATGGTGACCAGGACTTTACTAGCTCCCTGGAGTGATGACAAATAGTGACCAGGATGTGACTAGCTCCTTAGAGTGATGACAAATAGTGATCAGGACTTGGCTAGCTCCCTAGAGTGATGACAAATAGTGAACAGGACTTGACTAGCTCCCTAGAGTGATGACAAAATAGTGAACAGGACTTTACTAGCTCCCTGGAGTGATGACAAATAGTGACCAGGACTTGACTAGCTCTCCAGAGTGATGACAAATAGTGACAAGGACTTGACTAGCTCTCTAGAGTGATGACAAATAGTGACAAGGACTTTACTAGCTCCTTAGAGTGATGGTAAATAGTGATCAGGACTTGGCGAGCTCCCTAGATTGATGACAAATAGTGACCAGGACTTGACTATCTCTCTAGAGTGATGACAAATAGTGACAAGGACTTGGCTAGCTCCTTAGAGTGATGGCAAATAGTGATCAGGACTTGGCTAGCTCGCTACATTGATGACAAATAGTGACCAGGACTTGACTATCTCCCTAGAGTGATGACAAATGGTGACCAGGACATGACTAGCTCCCTAGAGTGATGACAAATGGTGATCAGGACTTAACTAGCTCCCTAGAGTGATGACAAATAGTGACCAGGACATGACTGGCTCCCTAGAGTGATGACAAATGGTGACCAGGACTTCACTAGCTCCCTAGAGTGATGACAAATAGTGACAAGGACATGACTAGCTCCCTAGAGTGATGACAAATGGTGACCAGGACTTAACTAGCTCACTAGAGTGATGACAAATGGTGACCAGGACTTTACTAGCTCCCTGGAGTGATGACAAATAGTGACCAGGACGTGGCTAGCTCCCTAGAGTGATGACAAATCGTGACCAGGACTTGACTAGCTCTCTAGAGTGATGACAAATAGGATGACAAATGGTGACCAGGACTTGACTAGCTCCCTAGAGGGATGACAAATAGTGACCAGGACATGACTAGCTCCCTAGAGTGATGGGAAATAGTGACCAGGACTTGACTAGCTCCTTAGAGTGATGACAAATGGTGACCAGGACTTAACTCGCTCCCTAGAGTGATGACAAATGGTGACCAGGACTTCACTAGCTCCCTAGAGTGATGACAAATAGTGACAAGGACTTTACTAGCTCCTTAGAGTGATGGTAAATAGTGATCAGGACTTGGCGAGCTCCCTAGATTGATGACAAATAGTGACCAGGACTTGCCTAGCTCCCTAGAGTGATGACAAATGGTGACCAGGACATGACTAACTCCTTAGAGTGATGACAAATAGTGATCAGGACTTGGCTAGCTCCCTAGATTGATGACGAATAGTGACCAGGACTTGACTAGCTCCCTAGAGCGATGACAAATAGTGACCAGCACTTGACTAGAGTGATGACAAATAGTGACCAGGACTTAGCTAGCTCCCTAGATTGATGACAAATAGTGACCAGGATGTGACTAGCATCCTAGAGTGATGACAAATAGTGACCAGGATGTGAATAGCTCCCTAGAGTGATGACAAATAGTGACCAGGAAATGACGAGCTCCCTAGAGTGATGACAAATGGTGACCAGGACTTTACTAGCTCCCTGGAGTGATGACAAATAGTGACCAGGATGTGACTAGCTCCTTAGAGTGATGACAAATAGTGACCAGGACATGACTGGCTCCCTAGAGTGATGACAAATGGTGACCAGGACATGACTAGCTCCCTAGAGTGATGACAAATAGTGACCAGGACTTGACTAGAGTGATGACAAATAGTGACCAGGACTTGACTAGCTCTCTAGAGTGATGACAAATAGTGACAAGGACTTGACTAGCTCCCTAGAGTGATGACAAATAGTGACAAGGACTTTACTAGCAGACTGAAGGAGCACACCCATGTGAGGTACTTAAATATGATGGGAATCCAAAGGAGATGAAGCTTGAGTGATTTTATATGAAAGAAAAGTAATTTCGACTTTACCTCAGTACCTCTTATTATTTCTAAATTTCATCAATCCAGGTAATTGTATGTTCTTATAAAAGATATCAGAACCAATATTAAAACTAATTAATTGCAGATCCAGGATAATGGGGTTCAGGGGTCGGCCCCCTTGAAGGGGAAGTTTAACAACAAACAATCCCCTCCTCATCCATGACTATTCAGCTAAAATTTGAAAGTTTGAATGGGGATATTTATAGAGATTTTTATCACTGTCTTTGGGTGCGTCTCAGTTTGTTCCAATTACTACACAATGATTCGCAGCCAAGGCAAAATGAAGATAAAAAAAAAATATCCATTCATTTGAAAAAGTTTTCTATATAAAAATAGTTCTTGTGTGATTTCAGGTAGAAAAGGGTTGTGTTCAAGTTAATTGAAGGATCCCTGGAGTCAAGATATTTTCATAATCTTGACAATGAATTTGTGAAAAGTTATCTCCCCATCAAAAATGATATATATTTTTCTCGATATGCAAATGAGTTGTACCACCACAGATATAAGCAGAATAAATAAAAGCTAGCAGCTCTTGACCAAGTAGTCTGCTGGATAGCTGAACTACTCGGTAGTGAAGTGGGCGTAAAACCAATCAATCAATCTTGACCAAAGTTCAATTTCATTTAGTACAAGGATCAGACCATGTACTCTCAACATCAAGTGTTTTTGTTCTTAGTTACTAGGTTACATGACTTAGTGTTAATCGACAAGGTAAGAGATGTTATTATGTTTTTGAAATTAAAAGAGGAACTTTAGAGTAGGAGGAAATGAAGCGTCATTAATAAACTATGTGATGAAAAAGAGAAATTGTAATGGGAAGGAGTGGAACCTGGAGGATGGACTCCACCCTACCTGCTAATTTTGACTTATACGGTATGAAATAATTTGAATATTTGGTCAAATTTTATAAGGGGAGGAAACTATAATTACACACAGTATGAGACAAAGCAGTGTTTCCCTAGTCCAGGTTTCAGTAAGTCATTTTGAGTTTAAAATTTCCGCAATATACCATCTGTGGTTAGCCTAATTTCAAGTTTTTGTAAGAGGACTTTTTCCTAATAACTTCTCACTCATTCCAACTTATAGTGTTAGAAATATATTACATTGGTGGTGTACAGAGATTTGCATAATGGGCAAATGATAAGGGGAGACTACTAGCAGTGAATGAGTTATAGTTACAGCATTCAGTCTATAGCAGTCGACCCCCCCACCCCCACCCCCTAGGAATTTAGTGGTTATAACACTATCTAGTTTGAATTTCAGTACACAATGTTAACAGATGACAATTCTAAACTTTCATAACAGCTACATACAATTTTCTGAAATTTTCTTTCTTTGTTTAATGGCCAATTATAGTCTCAAAGACCAGACCAGACCAGATCAGACTAAACGAAATATCCTTTGCTCTTTTGTTGCAAGTAATTGAAGGTGAAATATGGGTATCACAAAATGTATAGAAAGTGTTGTTTCTTTGTCATCAACGATAAACGCTAGTAAAATTGAACGTGGGTTTCCGACGATGTCTCTTTGTGTGAAAGACAAAAAAAATCAAATCTCTAATACCTATTTCTGTATTTTTTACAATATTGAAGTTTAATAGACGATTTTTTTCCTTTTTACAGTAAATACAATCTAAATATAGACTATATATGAAATATATGTTCAAAGTAAAAAACACAACAGGCAAGAAAATACAACAGACAATATTTCTACTGAAAATTGTGTTTATTGAGTTTTACAAGCACCCACCTGTGAATACAGTTCCAAGACAAAAATTTAACATAACAATGAAACAAAGAAATGCCAACAAGTCTGTGTCAACCGCAGTATCGCACAGATATTGTGATTCAAACAGATAATGTTTGTTTGAATTTCTTTTATTGACATTTTTTAATATATTAAGATATGATATAAACATTGGCACTGTTATATTACAGCTATAGCAACATTGATAAAACACAGATTTACACACAAAATATATTTCAGGACTTCAAATAATATGTCAAAACAAAGTCCCAGGATATTGTGAAGAAAAAGAAAACAAATAAATGTATTATGATATGATAAGATTATGCACTTTTTTAAAAGGAGCATTTATGAATTTGTAAAAAAACAAAAAATATTGGCCTTTTGCAAAACAAATAATATTCCACTTTTTACAACGATTTGATTACAGATATGTAACTTAATATATACATGCACTACATTGCACACAAATTCTTTTTGTTTTCATATTTTTCACCAATGGCTGTCACACTCAATACTTTCCATTCATTCAAATAAAGAACATACCCATAACACTCATTTGCAGAAATTATTACAGGACTTTTATTGAAAGTGAATATATAATGGAATACAAAGACTAATGACTTTGCAAGGATAGATGCAGACAACTGATTGACCTGACCAGAGCTGTGACATTCGGTGTAAGGTAAACCTGGATCTATGTATCAAATCGTTGTTTTTTGAAGCATGGAAGCTGAATAAATCCTGTGAAACCAAAAGTCACAGATCTTTTAAGTTATGTGGAATGACCCATTCGTCTACATTTTTATGGTTACATTTTCAGGTGTAAATGCTAATGAAGGTCTTTGAAGTTTTTGTCATACCTCACCTGACAGAATCAGCGGGCATATGTTCCTAAATGTTGAGGTAAGATGCTGAAGGGAACATGGGTTTTGCCAAACACTTTGTAACTGATAAGAAAGTCTATAACTGATTGTTGGAAATACCTGAATCTGTAAAATGTAGTTAGTTTGATATTGTTTTTGGCTTTTAAAAACAAATCATTTTCAAAATTAAATCTCTAAAACATATCACTCTCTATCATAGAAAAAAAAAAAAAAAAACATTTTTACAAATTACAATTCCTTACAAAGTACCATGACAGAAATTCCTATCACATGTGAGTGAAGGGACCATAATGGTAGTATAGGAACATACCAATCACACATCTGTTCCTATCACATGTGAGTGAAGGGACCATAATGGTAGTATAGGAACATACCAATCACACATCTGTTCCTGTCACATGTGAGTGAAGGGACCATAATGGTAGTATAGGAACATACCAATCACACATCTGTTCCTGTCACATGTGAGTGAAGGGACCATAATGGTAGTATAGGAACATACCAATCACACATCTGTTCCTGTCACATGTGAGTGAAGGGACCATAATGGTAGTATAGGAACATACCAATCACACATCTGTTCCTGTCACATGTGAGTGAAGGGACCATAATGGTAGTATAGGAACATACCAATCACACATCTGTTCCTGTCACATGTGAGTGAAGGGACCATAATGGTAGTATAGGAACATACCAATCACACATCTGTTCCTGTAACATGTGAGTGAAGGGACCATAATGGTAGAATAGGAACATACCAATCACACATTTGTTCCTGTCACATGTGAGTGAAGGGACCATAATGGTAGTATAGGAACATACCAATCACACATCTGTTCCTGTCACATGTGAGTGAAGGGACCATAATGGTAGTATAGGAACATACCAATCACACATCTGTTCCTGTCACATGTGAGTGAAGGGACCATAATGGTAGTATAGGAACATACCAATCACACATCTGTTCCTGTCACATGTGAGTGAAGGGACCATAATGGTAGTATAGGAACATACCAATCACACATCTGTTCCTGTCACATGTGAGTGAAGGGACCATAATGGTAGTATAGGAACATACCAATCACACATCTGTTCCTGTCACATGTGAGTGAAGGAACCATAATAGTAGTATAGGAACATACCAATCACACATCTGTTCCTATCACATGTGAGTGAAGGGACCATAATGGTAGTGTAGGAACATACCAATCACACATCTGTTCCTGTCATATGTGAGTGAAGGGACCATAATGGTAGTATAGGAACATACCAATCACACATCCTGTTAAACATATCAAATATTTGAAGAAAAGATGATGATGAATAATTTACGCTGTCAATTCAATAGCTTAATTTTCACAATTTAAGTAACATTAGCAAAAATGTTTTTATACCCAAATGTACATCTCAGATTTCAGAAATTATCATATCACACCAGACTAGAAGATTGCTAACTAGGTTCGAGTCCAAACTATTAATTGCTCAGATTCTATTGATTTTTTTTTTTTTACACTGAAATTTTATTTTTCACACAAATGACTACAAAAATATTTAACATGAAAAATATCATTTGAATATGAATGAATGTAACATATTGCAGGATATGTAGAAAATATTGGCAAAAAAATCACCAAATTATGAGTATGTTGAAAACTCTCAAATAATGAAATACATGTACGGTATTTGAGAATGACATCACACATCTTTGAATTAATATCAAGTTTTCCACACACAAAATGAAAGAAAGTAAACGTTACTACCTCATCTCTCATTGACACTGAAATAAAACCCTCTGACTTTCTCAGATTCTTTTTTCCCCTCTATGAGAAAGTGACTGTGGGTAGTTATGACTGTCCTAAAAAGATAGTTTTTAAGTTTAATGCAGTTTATTAAAAAGAAGATGAATTTTCAAACTTGAGCAAACCATATGAAATTTGAAAGAAAAGGAGTGAATTATAAGCAATAAAACTTCAATATTTATAACCAATATTATGTATAATGTACCTAGAATTTCATTGATGTAGGAGGTTTATATGAGTCATGCAATAAGATTGCACAATACAATGTAATTTCATGTACAAATATAATACAAAAATATCATAGTATCACTGGCTTTGGAAATGACCTAAAAAGATTGAAATTATATTCATTTTTTAAAGGAATTTCAATACATCATAAATATGGCATAAAACTAAAAAAAAACACCTTCTTTTATAAGGTTTAAAAAGCACATAATCCTGTGCTATGACAAGTGCTGTAAAGCAATTATGAAAAAGTGTTTACTTTTTCTCACACCATTGAATCACTTTTAAATTTCCTTGAATATTGAGTTGGGATATTAATAGTTCGGGGTTTTATTTCATTCAAAAAAAATGTATTTGCTTTTATATTGTTTTCTTCAGTTCAAACAGTGAAAAAACATGCAATATCAAAAAGAAATCTGGACATAGAAATATGACAAACTTTTTAAACAAAATCAGGACTCTACCAAGAATTTGAAAAAGATTTTTTTCTATGAATATTTATACTACTGTGAAAGAACAGTTGGAAATAAAAACTCATGTAATCATTCTATGGTAATTTCTAATTTCCTAAAACTAATAGTTACATGACTAATTACGACTTTAAACGGATTTAAATTGGACTAGGAATGTTGATAAATATAAACAAAATGTGTGCAAAACCTAAACTGGTGAGCAACCATAAGTATTTATCATATTAGAAACTGAAAGACTTGTTCGCAGAAACTCAAAATAAATTAGGAAAATAAAAATATCTACTCTATATCAACAATTTAACAGAACACCCCAACATGTAACTGACAGCCTTGGAGTGATTTTTTCAGGTGTTACAGACTTTCCTAGAGGAAAAGATTAACAAGAGGACCACTGGGCCTGTATTCCACACCTGTTATTTAATGCTGCGTGAAAACTACATCACACAACAGTGTAGGTCAAGGTTGAATATATTAGAATAGACCAAAGTTTTAATTTATTTGTTTCCTGTAGCCCTTCATTGTAGAATATTACTACGGTACTGGCCAAACAGCATGACCCTACCCCTTTTGGCTACGCAGAATAATTTGTAAAGATTTTAATCAATTTGATCCCTGTGACCTTGAAAGGTCTTCCATATGAACAAACTTGATATATCTTTAACCCTGCATGCTTACTGACACTGGCCATATATGACCTCAGGGCTTTTTGTTATTCAGAGAATTTTTTTTAAATAAAACAGTTGATGCCAGAGAGTTGACAGACCCTGTGCCATGGCAAATGTTCAGGTGAGCTACAAATGATGTAATTTTTGTTAAAAGGCTAGATTTATCTCCCTTCTTACACTCATGAATAATACAATTCCTAGTTACCTCCCTTGACGAGAAGTTTGGCCTCAAGCAGCTTCACATTTCAGGATGTCAAGAGTTAATTCATTCCATATTCACAATTTGGCAGACTAGACCAAGCTCCTTGTATTACCCTTACTGATTAAGGGACACAGTTAAAACAAGTTTGCCTATTTTATTGTCTTCAAGAATCAGCATTTTTTTTACAAATGAACAGATATATGTTACTCTCAATTTCTACAGCTCGGTAGACTAGACCAAATAATACTGTATTAAAATATTTTATGGACAGCAATTAAAGCAGTGCCAGGCAAACTTCTGGCCCTATGACATGGCATTTGGAGCACTAACCACTGCACCATGCTGCCAAAATATGTATGGAAATTTATAAACACGAAACTAAAACAAAACAGAGGCTGAACTGAAACCCATACACAAGCAATGATTTTTTTTCATTTCTGCAAAATTGAAATTTTTCATCCAGATAAAATCAATAGAATTTTTTTTTTTAATTACAATAATATCATGTTTCAAAAAAGACAATCTATTAGATTTCTTTTGACAACAATTGCATAAAACAGATCGCACAGGACAATCTTTACAACTTGATGCACTTGTGAAACGATATTTAGCAACATATAGCCAGTGCAAACAAACCATCAAGATAATCTGAAAATCTGTTTTTTTTATATTTATGGTCATCTTCTTTTACTTTGTAATTACAGTTTCACTTTCTGGGAATGTCACTTTATCATTTCATAAGAAATGATTTCCATGTAAACAAAATCACTTTTTTTACAAATAGTCACTCTCTTCATGTCCTTTCAAAGAATTTCTAAGCGACTGTAAAACATTGATTTGCTTGCAGTGTTTCTTTCCCACTAACTCCTTCAGTAGCAGTCACACCTTTCTGTTGCTATGGTAACGGTTCCTATAGTCAATGTCCACCTCTGACCTATCCCAGTTTAAGGTCCATGTTTAAATATTTCCATACAAGGTTAATTGTCATACAGCTGGCAAGTTTCCATCTCTGTCATCGCTCTGTAAGATCAATTGAAAATGCAATTAATTGTGTAAATTTTTAAATTCAATAACCAATCATGTTAAAAACTAAATTAATAAAGCATCTTTTGGTTTAGATAAAAAAAAAAGAGAATAATAAACTATCCACAATAATTCAATATTTAGCCTCAAAAATCATAAATGTAATAATCAATGAAATATCCAAATTCTAATCCTACTTTATTTTTATTGCAGAAAAACGCTGATTTTTTTTTATTTTTTATAGATTTTGTGTATTTACTTATCACACCTTTTCTGATGCCGATTAGTAGTTTTTTGCAGCAGTGTGCTTTGTTTGGTACAAAGGATCTGCTGATTAAATAAGAAGGTGAACATTACAAGTAAAACACAAATGTACTACTTTGCGAAAAATCCACTACACAAAGTCAAAATTATATACAGTACATTATGTACTGGTAAGAATATACAATTAATTAGTCAATTGTTCAAACCAATCATAATTACCTTCACCATGAAACAAATACAACAACAGGCCCATTAAGCCTGTATCACTCATGTTTCTTTCATTACTTTTCAACTAAACAATAAGTTACCTTTACACCAGGGTAGTCATGTGACATTTCTTATAACAAATACTAATAACAAGAGGCCCAGGGGCCTTAATAGCTCACCTGGTATTTTATTTTTCAATTTAAAACCTGCTGAGTACCATTCAGGTTTATCAAAGGAGTACAAGTAACAAAGTTGCATCTTCCATTTATAAATATTCAATTCCCTTTGCCCAAAGATTCTCTAAAACAAGTTTGGTTAGGTTAAAATCCCTTCAACGGTACAGAAGGAGAAGGATCTTTAATGTTTTCCTCTATTTCCCCTAATGGGCCCCACTAATCTGCCCCAAAGAAGGGGAATCCACACACCTCAGTTTAAACAAAATTGATTCTTTTCTCCCTAAGCATGCTTCAGACTGCATTTGGTTTAAATCCCTTCACTTGTATAGTAGGAGAAAAAAAATCCTCTATTTCCCCTATTGGGCCCCGCTCCTATGCCGCCAGAAGGCCCACACCCTCCGTTTATACAAACTTGAGTCTCCTTTGTCCAAAGATGCTCTAGGACAAATTTGGTCAAAATCCTTCAATTGGTTGAGGAGAAGATTTTTAAAGATTTACCTATTTTCCCCTATTTGGCCCCGTCCCTCTGCCCCCAGGGGGACCATACCCTCCGTTCATACAAAACTGAGAACCCTTTGGCCAATGATGCTCCAGACCAAATTTGGTCAAAATCCCTTCATCGGTACAAAAGGAGAAGGATATTTGATGTTTTCCTCTATTTCCCCTAATGGGCCCCACCCATCTGCCCTTAGAAGGAGGCCCACACACCTCAGTTTATACAAAATTGATTCTTTTGTCCCTAATCATGCTTCAGACTGCATTTGGTTAAAATCCCTTCACTTGTATAGCAGGAGAAAAAAAATCCTCTATTTCCCCTATTGGGCCCCGCCCCTCCGCCCCCAGAGGGGCCACACCCTCCGTTTATACAAACTTGAGTCTTCTTTGTCCAAAGATGCTCTAGGACAAATTTGGTCAAAATCCTTCAATTGGTTGAGAAGAAGAACATTTTTAAAGATTTACCTTTTTTCCCCTTATTTAGCCCCGCCCCTCTGCCCCGAGGGGGGGCTATACCGTCCGTTTATACAAAACTGAGAACCCTTTGGCCAATGATGCTCCTGACCAAGCTTCAGACTGCATTTGGTTTAAATCCCTTCACTTGTATAGTAGGAGAGAAAAAATCCTCTACTTCCCCTATTTGGCCCCGCCCCTCTGCCCCCAAAGAGGCCACACCCTCCGTTTATACAAACTTGAGTCTCCTTTGTCCAAAGATGCTCTAGGACAAATTTGGTCAAAATCCTTCTATTGGTTGAGAAGAAGAAGATTTTTAAAGATTTACCTATTTTCCCCCTATTTGGCCCCGCCCCTCTGCCCCAAGGGGGGTTATACCCTCCGTTTATACAAAACTGAGAACCCTTTGGCCAATGATGCTCCTGACCAAATTTGGTCAAAATCCTCTGAGCCATTCAGGACAAGTAGCATTTTAAAGGAAAAAGTTGACGGACGCCGTACGCCGGACGCCGGACGCTGCACCATGGGATAAGCTCACTTGGCCCTTCGGGCCAGGTGAGCTAAAAATAACACTTGTTATAATGGCCATGACAGGAACACTTGTACAAAGTCTGGTTCAAATTGATCTGGTGGAATTGAGAATTTCAAAAATGTCTCATCCAATTAGAGGAAAGTGTAGTAATTTTAGATTTTGAATCAACAAACAAAAATATCAACACATGTTCAGGACATAAGAGCATTATTCAGATCTAGTTTGGTTACAACATTCTTGGCTGTTTAGAGAAGAATTTGGAATTGTATCTGCCAATCCAAAAACAAGTGGCCATCTTTGATTGGGAATTGGTTTGAAAAATAATTCTACAGCATTCTGTCAAAACTGTCCAGATTTTGTTTATATTTTTGTGGGGTTCTTTCCCATCTCATCTCCATTTTCTTAACAGGGAACCCCCACCACCATTTACCACGTTTTATGATTTTTTAATTTAATTTTTAAATTATATGCAAAATACTGTATGAAGTACCTAGATTGTCGATACAGGTTAAGAAGTAGGAAAGCATAGGACAAAAACTGATTGTCAGCAAGTAAGTACATGAATAGATCGACACAGTTCACAGTTACTACATAGAGATACCACATATCAACTGTTAACTGACAATATGTCAAATCACATACAAATGTTTTATATCATACACATATTGCTGAACTTTCTATGTGAAATCAGTGAGTAACATTGACAAGTTATTCAAACTAACAATTAATCTGGAAATCAAAACTGACACATTCAAAATTTTTGCAATGTACATTTTAATCCTTTTTCCAGTGTTTTAATTTCAGATTTTATCAGAAACTCGGTGCTTTAAAAACCGTAACAGATAACGCAACAAGGAACTTTTCGTCCAGCAGAACTTTTGCATGAACGCCGTCAATCAAATCCATCACCTGCCAATCAAATCCAAATGCATTGCAATAGGCCGCCGCCTCACCACAGCAGAGAAAGCTAACAGAGCTAAAGATATACCAACCGGAGACCGTAAACTTTATCAATGGTCATACCTGACCCGATGTGTTAGCATTAAAAGGATCCAGGTTTGTGATGTGCGGTATTGTGGCCACTGTCGAACGCTGTTTCAACTTCATCTTTGTTGGATGAGCTGCAAAGAAAAATTATGAACTTTAAAATATATCACTATGTGGAGAAGATCAAAGGTGAATGTTGTATCGATACCTGTATTACTGGACACTGTTCCTTATAGATGCTTATCAGAATATAGCAAGCAACTCAGAATTATATTGTGTCCAGATAGACAGCCAAGGTTAAAAAATACTATGAAAAACTTTTACCCAATTACATACAATTCACTAGTACCGAGTTCCATATTAGCCAAGTGTTATTTTTATCCCTCAGTCAAAGAAATATGCTAATAATTTCTTAAAACAGTCTGTCAGGGTTTGTTCTGATCCACATGGCCATACCTTCAGCACCCTTCAGTTCTGGTAAACTAAGACTTTCCTTTTCCTTCTTGTCTGGGCTGTGAGCCTTAACACGTGTCAGGGACTTGTCGTGTAGGAAGCTCTTCTCTGACTGGAGTGGCTGAGGACTGATCGTGTTACTATGGTGATTAGTCAGCATCGTCTTCTTTGTGAAGTTGCTCGATGTTTTCTTTATCACTTTGTCACTTACCCTGAAAATATTCATATAAATTTGCTAGAAATGTCTGGCATGATAACATTTTGTAAATTCTGTAAGCATCAGATAATATTGTTTAGGATTAGATTATTCACACAACGGTGATCACCTTATTGGAATTACCTGAAATTTTAATACAACAACATATACCAGGGTAGGTATAATTGTATGCCTTCATTAACTTATTATCTTAGAATGATAAAGTGTCCTGACCATGATTCTATCGGTACATTTTTCAAAAATTCATTATTAGCTTTAGATTAAATAAAGAAACGGAAAAAATCATTGATTTCTAAATTCAATAACAATGTATCTACTTTTCTAAGCAAACAGTCTACAGCAGAATGCATTAATTGTAATACGTTGTACTGTAGTGTACGGCAATAAATGTTATATACAAAACAGAACAAATTAGAATCAAATAAAAGAAAATTATTTCTTAAGGAACCATTATGAATAATGATGCATTCCCCCATATTAAATAACTTGATCCCAACTTATTTAATTACAGCCTGTTGCATCTTGGAGCTAACGCAAACTAGAACTGAATATACTTACTATCATAGTATAAGTTGGACCAGTTCCAGTAAGAAGAAAGTTGAAAAAACTTGCAGTGTGTAGAAGCCAGAACTAACATATGTACAAAATGTAATTATGGTGTTTTCCATTCAGTACACTGGTGCTTGAAACAAGTAAAACAGCTGAAATATTATTTGTGTGTGTAGCCTAATGCATAGTGATTCAACACAATATTTGCTTATGCACTTTTATCTGTAAATGTTATTTTTTACTAGTTTTGGGTCAAAATATGTTCTTTCTAATTGCACTTTAGTTGCATGAATGGCAGGTTGCAGTGAATAAGTTTCAGAAGCGATCAAGTCTTTTTTAACGTGTTGCCTTCAGACTAGAAAGCGGTGTTAGTTTATTTGACAGAGATAGGCACTTGCATCATTATGGACACGTGATATATTTATTTGTCATCTTTAGGATTAGTTTGTGATTTTAATTGTACATTTACCACCAAAATTTTACTACACTAAATATATAATGAAGAAATACTTTTTTTAAGAAATCAACTCCTCTGTAGGAAATACTTATTTACATCATGATATGTTATATTGAGACAATTCACTTCTTCTGAACCTACATATTCTTAAAAATTTGATTTATTTTTATCTTTTGCCAAATTTATTTTCTCAAATTTTTGTTCCAACCAATTTCAAAAGGAGCATCTTTTGCTATCCCAAAGAAATTGACTCGAAATCAAACATTAAGAAAAAGATATAATCTTTAATGTACATGTATACCTTCATAATTAAGCACGTGGTAAAAGATTACCGAGTCAAATTCAAGAATGCTATATGTCAAACAAGCATTACTAAAATAAAGTGTTTGATTCTAGAGCTCCAAAGAAAATTTTGGTGGTTTATGTTCCAGAAGAAACACAAGCTAGATGTGGTAACTTACCAAGCTTGTGACATATCTCTATCCCTGTGTAAAACGGACACTTTCAGTTTTAAAATTTTACTCAGACACCAATCATATTCTGGAAATAGTATTTTTAAGACAAAATTTCATTAAAATGGAGAAAATAAAATGAGTTCCTTGTCCTATATTGGACATCAAATAAAAGTGGACAGAAAGGCTGGATAACAAACAGACATGGGGGCAGACCTGGTCCAGGTCCTACAGAGAATGCTTTTCTCAAGCTTGCTTTCATCAAATGTGGTCTTGGTAATTTGCAATAATCTTGTCTAATTTATTCTTAACTCTTTCATAATTCCACACAACATATTCCTGTAAAGCAAAGCAGTTATCTCCCCTCTGACAATTTTATAACGGTGACTTGATTTTGGGATGATCGTATGTAGTGCAATATTGTATCATGTATCATTTATTTTTTAGTCTTTCTCATTATGATGAAGCAAAGACAAAAATGGACTCTGACTGGCAACTTCCACAAAATGAAAACACTGCCATGGAATATAATCAGTTGAAACAGTGACCACTAGATTAATGAGGAAGTCAACTGGGAAATGTGATGAAGAATACTTATCTCTACTGCAAATGTGAAGTACAAGCTAGGTACTGGAGTGGTATTTAGTTTGAAGGGGAAAAAAGACATGTCTTATTAAATGTCTCCCACACTTATTAACCAACACCCTTAATACATCAAATATGGCATGTACATCATGATGCTGGAAAGTAAATGTCTGATGCTTTAAACAAAAAATGAAATCATGAAGAAGAAGGCTGAAAAAAAACTTTTTTTTAAATAGGAACTTTCATAAAAGTTCAAAAAAAAAATATGAAGCCTATGATTTGATCTTAAGGTAAAGATCAATTTAAATTAAACAGGCAGACAGACTTTATTTACTTATAACTGGAGATAATTTCAGAAAAAATGCATATATGTACAATCACACTATTTCTTGCCTGCCATGTTTTACATGGGTCCCGCACTTTAAAAGATGGCCTAGTTCCTTTACATGGGTCCCGCACTTTAAAAGATGGCCTAGTTCCTTTACTTGGGTCCCGCACTTTAAAAGATGGCCTAGTTCCTTTACATGGGTCCCACACTTTAAAAGATGGCCTAGTTCCTTTACATGGGTCCCACCCTTTAAAAGATGGCCTAGTTCCTTTACTTGGGTCCCACGCTTTAAAAGATGGCCTAGTTCCTTTACATTGGTCCCACACTTTAAAAAATGGCCTAGTTCCTTTACTTGGGTCCCACACTTTAAAAGATGGCCTAGTTCCTTTACATTGGTCCCACACTTTAAAAAATGGCCTAGTTCCTTTACTTGGGTCCCACACTTTAAAAGATGGCCTAGTTCCTTTACATGGGTCCCGCACTTTAAAAGATGGCCTAGTTCCTTTACATGGGTCCCGCACTTTAAAAGATGGCCTAGTTCCTTTACTTGGGTCCCACACTTTAAAAGATGGCCTAGTTCCTTTACTTGGGTCCCGCACTTTAAAAGATGGCCTAGTTCCTTTACATGGGTCCCGCACTTTAAAAGATGGCCTAGTTCCTTTACTTGGGTCCCACACTTTAAAAGATGGCCTAGTTCCTTTCCTTGGGTCACGCACTTTAAAAGATGGCCTAGTTCCTTTACTTGGGTCCCGCACTTTAAAAGATGGCCTAGTTCCTTTACATGGGTCCCACCCTTTAAAAGATGGCCTAGTTCCTTTACTTGGGTCCCACGCTTTAAAAGATGGCCTAGTTCCTTTACATTGGTCCCACACTTTAAAAAATGGCCTAGTTCCTTTACTTGGGTCCCACACTTTAAAAGATGGCCTAGTTCCTTTACTTGGGTCCCACACGTTAAAAGATGGCCTAGTTCCTTTACTTGGGTCCCGCACTTTAAAAGATGGCCTAGTTCCTTTACATGGGTCCCGCACTTTAAAAGATGGCCTAGTTCCTTTACTTGGGTCCCACACGTTAAAAGATGGCCTAGTTCCTTTACTTGGGTCCCGCACTTTAAAAGATGGCCTAGTTCCTTTACATGGGTCCCACACTTTAAAAGATGGCCTAGTTCCTTTCCTTGGGTCACGCACTTTAAAAGATGGCCTAGTTCCTTTACTTGGGTCCCACACTTTAAAGACCTTCTCAATGTTAAGCTTCATGTCACTGTGCCTAAAGCAGGTCAAGGTTTTTTTGGCTATTTAGAGAAAGTTGTTTTAGGAAACATGTTGATGCAGATGGACAATCAGACGACAGAACACGAACACTGCTCCATGTGATAAGCTCAATTGTTTTTTTAGCCAGGTGAGCTGAAAATTGTCATAGTAAAATCTATGTTGTTAAAAAACAATTCACATTATCTATTTTATGTTTTTATGTATTTTGATTCAGTCTTTAACAAATCTTAACTAATCACAAGCATACAGAGATATAATATATACAGATAATATAATATGGGGCAAAGAAGTAATTCCAACAGTGTGGACAAGTTTAGGTTGTCAAATTTTCGGAGCGATCTGCTCCTTTTTCAAGACACAGTGAAACAGAACAGTTACATGTACATATACATCATATTACAAGAAGATGGAATCGATATACTATAATTGAAAATATAGCTATTATATAAAACCAATAGTCCCCTTGGAGATAATATAATATATAGACATATATATATAATTCTGAATATAGAAATAAAGATGTTTACCAGCTCCAATAAATATGGTATAAATTGATTTATTAGTAATCATATTTTCAAAAATAAACATAGTTTAAAATGTAAATTTACAGATGCATACAGTGACTTGAGAAAGCTTTCTCAATTTATCTTAATCTTTTTACTTAATAAAATATTTGTAAATATGTATACAATTTACTTAGATTATAAACTGTAAACTGTTGCCAGCTATATATTTAACATATCAAAGTAAGATTATTAAAATCATTTCAGTAATGTTGATAACAAGCATTTTGTTAAAAATTGACATGAATCTAATATTTATAACACCCCTCCCGAAATTAGAAGTAGGCTAAATATATTAAGTATTCATTTTCTATGACAACTACATTGCATGAGAAATGTATTTATAGAGAAAGGTATTTTATTAACAAAACTTATTTCAAAGCAGTTTTTTATCCCAGTTATGTTGACAAATTTAATTTTCACTGGAATTAACATTAAATTTTAGTATGTAAATTGTTTTTAAAACATGAACAATGTTATCTAAATTCCAAGAGACATACATATATATATTAGGACAGTTTTCATTCTGTTAAATTCACATCTGATTATAATTATTGTAAAAATCCAATAAAGTTTTGTCTCTAAAATCTACTGTTACCCCATCGTTATGTTACTAACAAATACATACAAACTGACATAATATGGATTTGTTCCATAAATATAACTTCCAATAAATATGGATTTGTTTGGGCACTCTTTCAAGTCGTGAATCTACCAACATTTCCTTTCTCAGCTACTTTTTGTTAACTTTCTAAATCACTGCTCTATAACAATACATAAACTTATATTTGTGGTATACTATCAATTGTATATTTATTTTTTTATCATTTCTAAGACATTAATAGGAAAGTTTTGAATTAGAAACAAAATAAACATGAAATTATTTCAGACATGATGTTTCTGACTATTATTTTGAATTTGCCATGGTACCCTTAATTATTATTTCCCCTTTTTTTCCATTTTTTTTCCACGAACATAACAAAACAGGTTTATGGTTTGTTTTTTTACATTTACCAAATACAAGCAAAATATTTTCACAAATCAAGATAATTCTTTTTAAAATACCTTAGTCTATCTGTATATTGAAACAATTTTTGTTTCATATTTTAAAAGCGAACAAATGAAAAATACTGAGTGAAGAATATGGATTATAAATAATAAAATTGATTGACTTTTCATATATTACTTCCATTACAGCAGAAAATGCATGGTCAAATCTGAGTATTGAGAAATCATTTGTCTGACTTTTTGTTCATCATTAGGTTGCAACCTGATGAGAGAAATGTTGGTAGTGACTTAAGTGTTAGATGTAACATATTACTAACTGGGACAGGGATACACGATCAAGCCAGACAGAAACTCACCTAGGAATGTCGTGTCGCACGGGGGCTACTCCGTGTCGGAAAACGTCTTGAGATCTAACGACCAAAATAACCTTACTGTACTTACAGTTAATCAAATTTTCCTTGTCCTTTTCTTTATTACTTCTTTCTCTCTCTTTTCTAAACTCATTCTGTCTTTTTCTCTTAAATTATCCTTTCTCTCTCTTCCTTATTTTCCATTTTTGAAATCATCTACACACTAAAATCACACCTTTCCGAGTAGTATTGTCTAATATTAAAATGCTACTTTTTCTAAACTACGAAACAAATCTGCAATTACAAATGAAAGATGAGAAAAAAGTATGAAATCTAATATTCTGCCCTTATGTTAAGAAATGGTAAATGAAGGAAGAAATGATAGAATCTCTTTTTTTCAGTGAAAGTGTTGTAGTGTGACAGCTGAGAAAAGAAGTTGTTCCTCTCCTATATTCTTAAAAAACACAAGGAATGACACCAACATAAAGCCTTGTAAATTTGCCTTTGACAAGTCATGTTTTTCCAATTGATTTAGGAACATCAAACAAATAAATACAAATTATAGATACAGTAAAAATCTGCTTATAAAGACTGCCAAAGGGAGATAACAAAATCAGTTTACCAGGTAGTGATTGGAAGAGAAATCTTCCTTTTCGCATATTTTGAAGTTATTGACAGATGTCTTAAAAGGCTGCAGATCTCTAAAGCAGGTTTAACTGTATCTCACACAAAGAATATATATATTCAATCCAAAATCCTTTTCCCAAAAATTAATGCGGCCAGGTATGAAACGTGATTGACATAAATTAGTAGTTTCTTTTTCAAAAGTAAGAAACTGATCCAATAAATAGACAGGTAATGGTCATGATCATATTAAGATAGCTACTGCAGTACCAGTTTCAGTGACTCTTTCAACACATGACAAATGATGAGCTGTTATCACTTGTAACAGAGTTTCTGATTAAACAATGTACAGTGCCCTCTGTCTTAACCAGTGACAACTGAATTTATTGACCCCAGCGTTGCCTTGTCATATTTCTATGTTGGCAGGCAGACAAAGTAAACATGATCCCCTAGATACCTGTATTACCTATAATGAATGTCGTTCTAACACAACCTTCTCACATGGAGACTCACAAAGTCAGGGCATGATCCAACACCAAGTTTTGACATTGTAAACAAAACTATATATTAAAGGGAGATAACCAGGAAACAAGGCAGGATCACAGAATAGACAGAGTCTGGATTAGCCAGATTTGTCCAAGGAGGATTTTGGCATTACCAAATCATTTGTATGTTGTTGTTGTTTTTTAATAAAAATCCAGACTGGACAGAATCTGGTTTAGATAGATGGCACTGTATCTTTAATTTCAACCTCATCAATTTCCAGACTTAAATTTCAATCTGATTAGAAAAACGAATCTAACACATTAAGCATATTTTAAAATGAATGGAATGTTATACAAAGTGCAGAAAAAATCAATTTGGAAACAATTTTTCCATACTTTAGTAATTTATTGTTGCAAAATAAAATGAAAGTTTGGAGCAATTATTTCTACTAAAGGCACAACTTTTGGAGGAAATTTTAAATCAGATCACAAGTAAGATTAAAATCACAAAAAATTGTTGAAAAAAGTTTAGAAATCAAAGCCTGGAATTAAGAGAGGCAATTGTTTGTATGATTTTAGTCATAGCAACAGGTTAACGTTAGCTCCAATTCCTTAAACGGACTATGAGTACCATACTTGATGGCGCCACCTGTAGGCTTACCTCAGTGGAGCAGGCCCCGAGTAGGGGGCATTACCCAATGGACTTGATATGTGCACATTGTTTACTGTTGAAACATTGGCCATATTTGGACTGTAAAAATAATACACAGGCAAAACTCTCAGAATAGTTATGTAAATCATATTTCTGAATATGTGTTTTTTCCTTCATAACTGTATAAATCTAAATAAATTTAATTTCTAAATTTGTCAATTCCAAGTATTTTAATATCATTTTTGTTTCCATACATTAATATTTCTTTTAAATTACATAGATTCCAGTTGATTTCCTGCTGGTTTGTCTGACTTTCAAAATCACATGTAACAAATCAATACTTTTATAAAAAAATATATATAAATACAGCTGTATAAGACTGCCTCATCAAAGTTAATTATACATTTGTGTCAATAAATATGTCTGACCTTGAATTCAGCACAGCTTTATCATTTCTATATATATATTAATATTTTTGCTGACATATACACCAGAGTGACACCTTAATATTTTGTCTTTAAATGAGTTAGGCAAAATGTTATAGGTTCTAATTAAATGATTTTATCTACATCTAGATAATAAGGTAGAGTATTAATTAGAATCCTAGTGTGGTGTGCTGATCCTACGGGAATCACTTAGGAGTGAACAATGAATTAAAAAATCCATTGATAATTTCTGTATGGACTGTGAATATGGTTCCAGTGTGGTAGTTGTGTCAGTGCATATATATAAATCTAACTACAACATGCTGGTAGCTATAGAGGATTCTCCGACTCCAATCCTTTACACCTCATTCTTATCATTGATTGATTTGAGAATACTCTATTGAATTGGGGGAATCTACAGCTCAATATTATATTTTGAAATATTTCATGAATAAAAATAACATTGCAGAAGTGACTAAGTGAGAAATTATAAATTATCTATCATAACTTCATTGTTTATGTTCTATATTCAGTATTTAAACATAAATCGCACTGTCTATGTAGCCAGTATTTCATCATAACCTGACAACCTTTATCAAAGTATGGGTCTACAGAGTCACAGCTTATTTCGTACACTACTGTTTGAATCATGAGAGTGACATGTATAATACTTGTATAAACTTTTCACTAAACTTCTCATTCAAAATACACAGGTTGTCAGATGAGACATGTTACAAATAACTAACTTAAATAAGACCTCAATGGCAGTTTGGTTTACAGTGTTAAGTTTACAGTGTCTGTAAACAGTTATCAACCAGACCTTCTCAGAACCTTTAGTCACAGTATTAAAGACAAGGGTTTAGTATAAATGTTAACGGTGACCTTGATCATGACCTTGGCACCCTGAAATATGAAATTGTTTGAGGAATGCTACTTGACCATTGTACGAAAACAGATCAAAATCTACCCAGAAATGAACCTAGGAACAAAAGCAATGCTATACCCTTCCATAACTCGAGGATAAAACAAAATACTTTCTTAAAAGTCAAGGTTCATTTAAATGGCACATTAAGAAGAGTCAAGGGCAATAATTGCATAAATTTTAATCATAGATATCAAATGCACAAAGAGAAGAGTTGTTTAAGGAAGATAATAAGCAATGCTTTCTTGTCTATCCATGTCTAAAGGGAGAAACACTTGTGAAACATTTCTGAAAAGAAACATCTGATGACATTTTTTTTGTACAACTAAATTGATCACAAAAATACACAATGCTTAGATCAAGAGAAAATTTCTTGTTTGATTAACTAATGGTTATTTAAGACATCTGAGTTTGTAGTAATGAATTTCCACAGTATTTGGATTACTTACCGACCTAAATTACTTCCTCAATGATCATTGTTAACATCAAGATACAAGATTTGAAGTGTATTTCTTGTGCTCTTGTGTTAACTTAAAATGTTAAACAGTTTTTAATTTTCAATTAGGTTTTACCTGAAAGGACAGCCAGGTTGCTGGTTTAATAATTAGAGATACCAGTAAGTTTTTGTCTAATGTATGGAGAAACCTGTCTAATCAGGTACCTTGTCTAGTCAGACTGGTGGAATTGTGATAAACCATTCAGAAGTGACATAAATTTATAATTTATTTATTACCTTCAGATCACAGAGGTGGAAGAGTGTGTTTTTCAAAACTAAGTTGTTAAACCAGAAGTACAATACGAGACCTCTTTATTGGGGAATAAATAGCCCAGGTTGGTACGGAGGATTATACAGGTTTCTACATACTGTACATGCTATATCTATCAGAAAGTGTTAGATGAGAATATAGATTTACGTAAAATAAAGAAGGATGATTATGAAAACTGAATGAAATACCTGACCAAGCTAAGACATTGTGAGCTTATGACTAGCAACTGTCTGTAGGTATAAACAGAACACACAAATAATTAGCTGGTTATCATATATCACACATGCTTAGATAACAAAGCTTCATCATCACTGTGCTACAAACATACAACAACAAAATATCAAATACATCATTCACTAAAACCTCTTTACAGTACTTAAAACTGTGCTGTCCAATGGTTTCATTGCATGCTACTCAGCTTGTGAAGCTATCATCATGACCTAATTTGAGCCATTAAATATATCCACAGACAAAAACATCATAATTTTCGATACATAGCCATGATAGTGTCTATTGTGAAGGGTTTGATACCCGTGAACCCTCTGAACCAAACCCTAACCTACCCGTACACGAAAGTCCTAATGAAATCACATTTCATACTGCCATTCTTTCTTTTAACACACCTGGGTATCTTTATTGTAAGTTCAAAAGGTAACTATTTTGTTTGTAAGAGGTCAAAATAAGACCTTTTTTCGCATATTCAAGGTTCATCTAAATGTGAACTCAGTCTGAAGTATGTAGATACCCATGTAGCACAACATTATTCATAGACAGGAAAAAATGTTTAGCGAGGGTGTCCAGTAGGTTTTCATGACCAAAATACATTTTTTTTTTTATAAAAGCATATATATATATACATATTAACAAATTGAAGAATAAAAATGACCTTCAAAATAACTGAAATTTAACAATTTCTTGCAAAATCTTAAATGTTAATACTACATATATAATGTACCAGCTACTTGTGTTTGCTAGCAGACAGCTATTGTAATCTAAATATGTTACTTGTTAGGCCTAATTTGTACGATTAACTCACAATTATTTCGTGCATCGTTCAACCTGTGAATGTTTTCAACAACACTGGTGAATGTGAAACAAAATTCAGGCTAAACTTGTATTTGAAGATGAACTTGATTGAAACAGATGGCTTGTACTAATGGAAAGATTTGCAATTCAGAGATCTATTAAAATTGAAGAAAAAAAATGTATGTTGAAATATGGGGTGCAATCAGGATGTAGCTATAAATAGTGGTGAAGTATTATAAAAACGAGAAGTCAACTCACACCAGATGAAAAAAATGAAACAATATATATCAATAGACACTTCCCTGACATTTAAGTCCAAGACACTGGTACACCAATCTTATTTTTTGCAAAACATGGCACCTCAGATATACAAGTAGCATGAAAAGGAATCACCATCCAAAACCAATATCTTTTAACGGCAAATCGTTTTACAAATTCCTGAAATAACATATCAGTGACTCATCATCCGACTTACCTTCCAATAGAAGGCATTGACTGTGGGGTGGACAGATGGATGGTTTGACCTGTGTTGTTGATGGGCGGAATCATTCCAGACGTCTCCTTCAGATGACCATTATCTCCGTCCCTTTCTCTGTCCTTCTCGTGTCGATCGTGTTTGTCCTGTTTCTCCTTATCATGCTTATCTTTACTCTCATGTCTATCTTTGTCGTGTTTACTCTCTTTATCGTGGCGATCTTTTTCATACTTATCCTTTTCACTTTTGTCTTTTTCATATTTGTCCAACTTTGACTCTTTGTCATGTTTCACATTTTCTTTTTCTGTCCGTTTATCAGACTTTCTGTCTGCTTTTGAGTCTGTTTGCTCACTTGTCTCCCCTGACTTGGAGTGACTCACATTGTTCACCGTACCATTGACATAGTTTGAAGTAGACTTTTTGTTGTTTTTCTCAGAATCTGACACTTTCTTTTTTTGTTTGTCCTCACTCTCTTGCTTTGAGCCCTGAAACATGAAATAACAGTAATCATCAGTTATGATTAAGTTTTTATATTATCAATTAAGTTTTTAAATTCTCTATTATTACTTATAAATATGTAGTTTTTGAAAAGCATTCAGACTTAATTAGTGCTTTTTGCCAGAAGGCTACCTAATACTCAGTACAATATTGGTTAAAATTATCGATCTATCCCAATTTTGGAAATTCAAAATCAATACAGTAATGACAGCTTGGTGATGTACAAAATGTACCCAAATATATATGACATGACTTTTCTTGTACAAAGGGCAGTAACTCTTCAAGAAAACATGAAGCCTTTTAAAACAAGACTGATAACAACAGTATGGCACAGAGGTACATTATATATATACACAATATATTGATGAAGGATATATACATGTACATGTTACTGGTGATCAAAAGTATTGTAAATTATTAAGATATTTGGGGAGCAAGGTTTCAAAAACATAATTTTCAAATGAAATTAGTTTTTAATTAAAGAGCAAAGTATAACATTTTAAAAGTTACAGATTTAGGAATTGTCTCCCTTTGCCAATACTCTTAAATGGTTCAAATTTACTGGAGGAATAATAAACGACCATAGCGCGTTAAATTTAACAGCATTCCAGTTTTACGATGTGCAAATTTTCACATCATTTACATCACATGTACATCAAATCTCATAAGTCGAAATTGTTGGACCAGTTGCAGTCAAAAGGTTATTTTTGGGTAATTATAAGTTCCTTTGAGCAGGTGTAGATAAGTTACCTGCAAGTATTAAATGGGCAATAACTCTGCAAAAGAGATAATCATATAATAACAACAGTTCCATATCTGATGTACCAAAGCTAAACCCAGGGACAAATTGTTGTAAACTGCACTTTAAAACGTTTAGTGACACTTATAGAATTTCTTAAGCTGTCTAAAAGGTAGCATATTAAATGCTTCAGAGTTCAACACTCACTTAGAAGGAGGGTGATATTACTGTTGTCGAAGTTAAATGTTGGACAATCTACAATTTGCGTTTTGGAGGAATTGTTGGTTTGAGAAATGGGGTAAAAATAAAAATGAAGCTGTACAACAATATATTTCCAAGCTCATTACAAAGTCTGGAAAATTCTCACAGAAGCTTTTCCAAGATTTGCAAGCCTTACTTTCGCTTTTACAAAGTCGTTACAATTTATTATGGCATTTTTCATATATTGAAGGAAGATAATTATGTATGATTTAAATAATTTTAAATTTAAAACTTCTTTCTAATCGCTACTCTGAAAGATTGATAGGGTTATGCATTCTGTATTTTTGTATAAACCCCCCAAATGGACAATAACATGAATTCTGTATTTTTGTATAAACCCCCCAAATGGACAATAACATTAATTCTGTATTTTTGTATAAACCCCCCAAAATGGACAATAACATTCATTCTGTATTTTTGTATAAAACCCCCCAAATGGACAAAAACATTAATTCTGTAATTTTGTATAAACCCCCCAAATGGACAATAACATGAATTCTGTATTTTTGTATAAACCCCCCAAATGGACAATAACATGAATTTTCCAGTGTCCATGTGAAGATGTAAAGAAATGGGTAAACCTTTCCATCCTTTGAATCTTTATTGTCAGATTTTTTCTTTTTCTTGGAATTTGACGTCTTAGAATCATCCTTGTTGTCATCCTCTTTTTCACTTGACTGAGATTTGATTAGTGGATTGTTGTTATTTTCACGGTGTACTCTCTGTTTTAAGTCCTGAGAAAACCGAGCACAAAATCCATCCTTATTAAAGAACTCGTGCTTCAGCAACTGTGAACAGCTCGGCCGATCATCTGGGTCCAGTCGTAGACATTGCTGTGAGATAAAGAATGATGATATTGTTATAAAACAACACAAGATGTAATACATAAAGAATAGCACTAGGATATAGTATTTGTCTTTTCTTTTTCTTGAAACATTTTTTGATTTAGATGTAGTTACAGTCTGTTGTTTTCAAATCACGGAAAAATATGATATTCAACATTTTTTTCATGTCTTTAAGCATACAAAAATACCAGATGTTTCATCCGATATGATTTATACATAATGCAAAAGACAATTTATAAACATGGGGATATAATGATATATAAAAATTGATTTATTTCTTCCGCTTATATTCATCTGTGGTACATCTTCATTTGGGCAGTTACTCAATTTGTAATTCGTAATCCCCCAAGAATGTTATTTTGGGCTATCACACATTGCCAAGTCAACAGCTATGATACAGCTGGCCGGGTACATACATGAGAGTATTAGTATTAGTATCACAGCTGCTATATCCCCTTAGCCCATATATAGGTAGAATGTTTTCGGAAATAAGTATTATTATTTGCTAATAATCTCAATCTGCCTTTTGAGTCTTTTGTTCATAAACCACTGAATTACTCCTAGTAGCGATTTTGTTGACACAGGTTGCGACATACTTTAACAATACAATGTATTTAATGGTTATCATTGATCCAGAGGATAATATGTCAATGAACACTTTCAAATAAATAATTTAAAAAATCCATAAACAACTCATTCCTAATATTTACCTTCATTACATCTAGTGAAAATGATGATATCCTCGTAAATTTCTTTTCTAGAGGTGAAACCTCTCGAACTTCTGGCGTCCGCATCCCAACAAACATAGGGTTATTTAGAAACACTTCTTTGTGGCGTTGAGTTAAATTTCCTGCAAATAAAAAAATAATAATTCGGTATAAAAAATATACACTTCCATGACAACCTTATTAAAGAGGAAAGTACTCCAAGTATCAATCCGTCACAACTGCATTCTGTTTGCATGACTTAAGTTAACCTGTCTAAACTGGGCAATACATAACCCAGAAACCTGTATTACAATACATAACCCAGAAATCTGTATTACAATACATAACCCAGAAACCTGTATTACAATACATAATCCAGAAACCTGTATTACAATACATAACCCAGAAACCTGTATTACAATACATAACCCAGAAACCTGTATTACAATACATAACCCAGAAACCTGTATTATAATACATAACACAGAAAACTGTATTGCAAAACATAGCCAAGAAACCTGTATTTTAAAAAGATTCAATTAAGGCCAAACCGCATACCTCTATGTAACCTGTTCTAATTTGAACAAATGTATCTGTCCCTGAGGTGTTTAAATTATAAAGGATAATGCCATGTACATGTATGTCTCTTACAGCCAGGTTTTTACCGAGATAAGGACACCTCTCTAAAAGGGATCCTTTTCAGAATGTCACTAAAGGTTTTACTGTACATGTAGAGACATTTGTAGAAGATGACACCAATGCAAAGACTTTAGAGGGAGCTATATTTTAGCAATTTGTAAAATTTAAAGATGGTTTATGACATTTACATTTGTTCATTAAATGAAAAAGGTGATCTCCAGATTTACAGATTTATCAAAACAAATGTTTGTGAGCTCCCTGTCTTACCAAAACATTTGACTATGTGATAAAGTTGGTCTATATCGGATTCGCCAGGAAAGAGTGGTTCTCCCGTCAACATTTCAGCTAACAGACACCCTATCGCCCACACATCCACAGCTCTGCAAGGAAACAATTGCACAGAATAATCAAAAATGATCTGATGTATACAAAATAATTACTTATCCTCTCAAGCCAACATGTATTTACTGACTCACATATTTTTAGATAAGAATCCTTTCATAGCAAATACTGGTTTACTTCCAGGCTATGTGAATTTTATATGGTCATTTGTTTATCTTTGCATTTGTCTCATGGGCTCCCAGTTTTGCAACTGCTTCATAAATATTTCATAGGAAAATTCAAAAGGTATATCAAATTTTGTTACTTTTTTAATTATCTTAAAAAAACATGAAGAAAAACCCCAGAAATTAAAGTAGAATTATCTTGGTTCTATCACTAAACACTGGTACACTTAATATTGATTAATAATGTTAATTTCCTACACACAAATATATGAATATAATCATGATGAATATGAATATAACTCTATATCGTTATGAATAGTTTAATTTTCTCACTGTTTACTTTCCATTTACCACTTTTTAAGTCTGAGTTCAGTTATTATGTAAAACAAAACTGGCTCTGTACGCGACCTGCTACAAAGCCCATGTTCAATGAAGGTGTAGTGAATTTATTCTGGACCACAGTTCCCATCAGGTACATGAATAAATTTACTGGCAGGGTGTACTCAAGGCTGTTACAACATTTGTATCAACAGCTGAATATATTAGAAAATAGGGTCTGGAGAAGTTTTAGAATGTTATACAGTATATGGATCGTACAGTACTTTTGTAACTGTCATACTGGTCTGAACACAAAATAGCTTTACATATATACAGGATTAATGTAAGACATTTGCATCCATACTGTATAATTGAAAATAAGCTGTTCAATCTCCAAAAAAGGTAAATATCTATATACAGTTATATTTAAACAAATGATCATCCTTCGAAAGACTACCCTTGATAAATATCTACACAAAGTTTATTTTTAGGATATATTGTGCATTAAACATCACATCTGTGATTTGTTTTAGAATAATCTCCAATGAAAAAGCATATCTATCATCAGCAGATTTTAAAAAGTTTTGAATGAAAACAGTAGTTGTTTGAATAATCTTCAAACTACAGACATACAGATAAACAGGCTGACAACTTGATTCCAGCAAACACTACCCTTTCCCCCCAAACCTCCAATAAATATTGTTGCGGGTTGCATAATCCATACAAAATATTTTACATATTTCTTAGAGTGTCACTCTATTGGTGATAGGATACACCTCCAATATTGTTGTGGGTTGCATAATTCATACAAAATATTTTACATATTTCTTAAAGTGGAACTCTATTGGTAATAGGATACATGTCACAATAAGCTGGTAGCATATATATTTGAAAACAGTGTTCTGTAGTTCTGCACAAGCTTCCCCAGATATCATAAGTCAAACCTACATCTAATAGCACATTGAAAACCAGCTGGGATTCAATTAAATGCAATAGAATGCTCTAGACGTTACAATAAATAGGGTTGCAGGTATTGCAAAAATACCTGCCATATTTGTGTCACTCACCAAGAGTATGGGGACCAAATACCAGCGAGACACAAAGGGCAGATACTAGCAACACTGGTAAAAAAGTATAATTACCATTAGCGTACTCTAGTTATGATACATAAATAAACGTATAGTTACCTGCCGTATTTGGTGTCCCCTACTAGGAGTTCAGGGGCCCGATACCATCTTGTGGCCACATAGTCTGTGTATGTCTCACCAGGCTGTGCTAATGTTCGTGCAAATCCGAAATCACACAATTTGACAATCCCAGATTTACTGACTAAAATATTTTCTGGTTTAATGTCTCTATGAATGATCTGAAAAGATAATAAAACATGTAAAAGTCCACCTTTCAATCTTTAATAAAATCCTTATGAAATGAATTCTTTGTGAAAGTTTTGTTTTCAAGAGAACGCAAATGACTAATTCTGTCTTCAAAAAAAAGGAAAAAGAAATCTTTGAGAAAACAAAAAACATAAATCTACTGCTAGGACTCGCACTATGAACTGTCTCCTTGTGAGACCATGCATCTTTCAGCACTGTTCGTAAAACTGAATGTTAAACACAAGAAATTGTTGTTCTACATTAAAACATACCATTGATAATCATTAAAAGTTTAATTAATGGTAGTACTGTATGCAAAAAACTGTTCGCTGCAGTTTAGCTATCACCTTTTTGCCCTCTGGGATGATTTTTTTTTCATTATGACTAGAACACAGCTTACTTTGTAACTTATTTCCACTTAGAAGAGAGAAATTAATATTGGGTGTAAATGACTGTCGCCAGTGGAAGGTAAACAATTCACTAGATGAAAGTTTACCAGTAAACAGTAGACAGCACACAGTACACAGAACTGATCCAGTAAATTTCTACTTACATTGTGTACATGACAGAATTCTATTCCCTTCAGCACTTGCCAGAGAATTCTCCGCACTGTGTTTTCGTCCAGGCCATTTGGACATTTTTCCAGTTCATCTAAAACGGTATGGTCCACGAATTCGAACACTAAATAGAGTCTCTTTTTTCTCCGGAACACTTCTATAAGGTTCACTAGATGATCATGCCGTAGTTGCTGCAATCAATAGAAGAAAAAAAAATATTATAAATTCTAGGATAACCCAGGTCAAGGTTTCAAGTCATCTTGATGCATTATGCTGATGGATAGTGAAACACTTGTGTCTCAGCTAATTCATACAATTGTGAGTTGATTGTAAAGACTGCAACATCATCATTGGGTATATTGAAAATGAATAGCATAAGAACTGTGTGATAATATTGGCAAAATATTTAGTGGTAAATGACTCTCATTGAGCCAACTGTAATGGAGATAATAACAGATAAATTTGTTAACCACCCTTCGGGTGCTCTCTAACATCTAGTGTCTAGTTTAAACATTAAATAGAAAGACTGTCTTGGTGATTTGATGCAGGTTAAAGCATACAACTACACTACAAGATCAACATATTTGTTTTTTCTGTTTTGTTTATTGGTAATGTTTGGCTAATTGATTTTTGTGCTTAGTGACATTCAATATTTACTACAGCCCTCAACTGCTAGAGAATTTCAAAATCTCTTCTTGCTCTAATTTCCACAAATTAAAATGACTGCTACAAGATCTAGAGTTGATTCTAATAGTTCATTTTCATCTCAGCTCCTAGTAAATTTAGAACAAGCAATTGCTGTTGTCAATCAGCTGTTGTCAATCAACTGTTGTCAACAACTGCTTGCCCAAAAGATCAACAACCCTAAAACAGCAGTCTACCATGTCTATTGTTGATTAGACCAACATAAAATTTTCCACTTTGGTCAACAATCATTGGTTTAAAGGATCATAAACCATTGCCTAGGGACTTGGGTGGTTGACTATGAACGTTTAGCTATACAGAAGCTTCATCGGAGATCAGTCTGTATATTTTTGAGTACATTGTAATACCAAAACAGGATATTAATACAGTACAGCTTATCAAACCACTATATAACTGTACATAAGTACTGTATAACTATATATGTATTATATACACCTAATTTAATTCGCCTGGCGTCTATATGGTATTAAATATTGTGAGGAGCTTGAATCTATTTTTGCACTCTTAGTGCATAAAACAAATCTATTTAATTCCATTTCATGATTAATGTTTATATACATTTGTGGAAACTTCAGAAGATTAAGGCCATTTGAAACAGAGACACATCTCTGAATTTGTAAACAAGGTATTAAATATGTCCAATTTCTGCACATCAAAATTTGTTATTTCCTTTTTGAACTTTAATCGGGTAAGTTTCAAGAAAATAAGATTAAAAGAGACAATATTACAATGCTTTTAAGAAATGCTATAACTCTATGAAAACTCATAGCATCAACATGCCTACAATAACACTTTATAAACATATGTACAACTAGTCTATGTTGTGATCAAAATTCAGTGAAACAAACATTTTAAACAGATGGTCTATTGTCTTTGCAATTCTCTTTGTACCAAAGGGACATAATTATTTCATAAACATCACAGATTCCCCTGTACATCAGTCGTGACAGACAAAGTTCAACTAAATTAATTTCAAACTGAGGACCTATTTGACTCTGATCAATTTTTCTCAAAATTCTGACAGTGTTGAAGACATCTAAGAACTGCACATGATGCAAAAAGATCACTGGCTAAAAACTCATAAGTTGTGCATTAAAAATCTGTATGGAATATGTGGACATGAAGACAGACGGACCAAAATATCTGGTGTAAATATTGATTTCTTGCTGGGGGTATGTGTAATTTGAGTTTACAGAGCTGAAAGCTAAAAAAAACCACAAATACTTTGAAATAACTACACTACAGGTAAAATAATGGGCTAAGGAATTTCATTTCAGTTGTTATTTATGACCAAAAACTATTATTAACATAACCAGGAATTAAAGTTCAATCTTAGAGGTAAAGAAATAAGTCAAACTGGAAACATATCACTGTGAAGGAAATAAATCATAGATTTGGCAGACAGTAAATTTAAAAGTCCTTCAATTGCTAAGAGTACATTAGATCTCCCCAATACAGTAGATACTGTAACAAATATATAAATCTATTTACTGGATTTAGCCACTGCTATAATGATGAACTCCCTGTAATTATAACACAAACACAATAATTTTTCTAACTGTGGCCTGATATAATTATTTATGCCCCATGATGTAAAGTAAACCACACCATGTCAATAAATGTAAACAAACCATTCAATAAACAACAAAGCTATTGTGCTAACATGTCTGGTATTGTTCAAGAAGGTAAAAATACTTCACCGACAAGCTGACATTACTAGAAACATAAGGCCACGTTTTTTGCTACAATCAATTGTATTGGTTTAGTAATTACAAACATAGCAGTAAAGGAATCAATAATAGATAGCTTCATCAGTCTGTTGTATCAGGCCAGCGTTCTACCTATATAGTGCAATATACCTTAACAGGCAAGCACAAAACACACAAGGCCCTTTGAAGTCAACGAAGGAATTAATAATTGGGTAACCGATCACATTTCCAAAAGATAAGCTGCCAGCAATTTTCTGTCAATAATAAATTGATATCCAACAGAAGCTGAACGGCTGATAACTTGCACAACAGATAAGAATCTCTTTAAAGGAAATTTTTAATATTCCATAGAGATATACACAGTTTGCAGTAGGCATGAAAATAATATAATTAGTAATTACAGGTAATTATAAGTGGTAGCAATATTAACACGAATAATTTATAGCCAGTGACAGCAATTTTTAATTTGCAACTTCTACTGTTTGAACAGTAAGTGTTTGAGTGACATTGATCAAATTGTGAAATATATGGATCCTGCCCCCCAGGGGCTAATACAAAAAGGCAGGGTCCAAAAAGGTTAAAACTTCAACAATATTCTTCTTGATACCGAGAATTCCTACAATCAAATACTCTTCATGGGTGAAAAGATCCTTTAGTGCTGTATAAGAATTGTGTTAATGTATTGTAATACCTTCCTTTGAACTATCCAGTAGGTTGTAATATGCAAGTTATTCAATTTTACAAGTATCACCTTGATTTTTATTCACCAAGAGGCTTTACATTAGGTTGAATCACACTTTTGTGTTTTTTGGGGGGGTTTCTTGTCTTTACTTCCTTCTTTTCATTAATTCTTCTTCTCTTTACTCTATTATACTACTTTTTAAACCTTCTTTGGTCTGCTTTTACCTTAAATTTTATATACTTTATATTAAGACACAATTTTCTTCAAGCAACATATTTAATTATATATATTGTATATTGATTTTATGTACCCAGTGTAGCCGAGACAAGATTAGGTCTCTTTATTCTCCATTTATTATATAATAAAGCAGTGTGTCTGTATCAATATTTGAAATATATTGCATTGGTCACTGTCAGCATATTATGTTGTCAGTTTTGTTTTCATTCAACTTAAACATATTTTAGCAACATTTTGATGGCTTAAGAAGTCAAACTAACTGATGGACTTTTAAAATTGACAAAATCAGGAACAGAAAATTCTGTACTACAGTCATCCAAAATGATATAAAGGGGAGGTTACTCTTTCTACGAAAAGCCAGAATGCAGTGGGATTGATCCATTCTTAAATACTGGATCGACATTTCAGCCATGTGTGACCTTATATGGGGTTTATTGATAATTAACAAGTCATAAATATTTGACCAATAAACCAAATTAAAAGTAATATCTCAAAGTTGAGGAATCTCGATCAAAACTTAAAATATAGGGTCAATAAGGATTTAGGAAGGGCATGAGCCATGGGCCATATATATGGCAAATTAAAATTAAAATGGTCCATAACACTTACCGTTTCATTGATATACAATAGCTTAAAAACTGGGAAATGGCCCAAAGACTGGTTAAGCCTAAAGCTTATTAATCAATGGGCCATATTTTGAGAAGAATATTAGTTTATTGTGCAATAACTAGTTAAATCTTCAACATTAATTCACCTTATAATTACCACCAAAGGAAAAAATCTGAAGCTTTGATTCTTTCAATCTATATCATGTAATTAGTCTGTGTAGTTATAGATCCACAACTCCGGAAGATTAGATTGATTAAAAAAAATTCAATGGTCAATGGAAATTGAATTGATGGGCTCAACAGGATATTCAGGTCAACTGATCAAAAACAAAAATTGGTTATTTTTTGTTTATTTTCTCATCAAAGAGACATTTTTTTTAATTAAATCATGAAACAGTTGTATAAAATGCCAGTTTGTTTACAATGACAGTTGATTGAACTGTATCTATTCTACAAGTGTATTAACACTGAAACTGATATATGGGACCAGATCATGGCCAGGGTAAGGTAAAAAGGAAATCTATAATTAATCAATATTTGTGGAGTAAACAAACACACCCACCCCACGGATTATCTTTCCTATAACCACTGAGGGGGTCTATACAGCTTTCTGGTCTCACATTACAGAAAAGTAGACATGTTTAAATATCTACTAGAAGCTGCAGGGGACATTTCACCACAGACACCGCATATGTTTAAAACTGTTTATGGGACAAGAATGTATTCCCAACGATGGTTTGAAATCTTAATAGACTGTACAGTGATCATAAAAAAGGAGATGTTTATATAGACAGATCCATTGACAACGAAAGACGATTACATTTCCTTAAACGTGTCAATTAGTCCTCTGAGTTTTAAGCCTTTCCACATATCTAAATCACTGTTGTATCCTAAATACTTTTTAAGTAGGCCAGATCAGAACTTTGTGATAATGATCCATAGATTTTACAACAGCTGATCCTCAAACAGTCAAATTAACATCTTACTGGTAAACAAAATTATTATAAACATTCTGGAAAATACTTAAGGAAAATTTTCAGAAATATGTGATACATGTACGTATCAAGATCAAAGTCATGCATGACCCTTCAGTTTTAAAGTAAATTCACCCAGACAGTAATTCTACCAATTTATCAAATGAATCGTTTGATTTTTGAGGGTTATTGTTACAGTCATGACAGAAAAGACTGGATTTCAGAAAAGGGCCTGTTTCCAGTAATGTTAATTCTCCATAGGAGCCTGCCCCCGTA